GTTCGGAAATACCGCCGATGAATTGAACAAGCCTGGTGATTAATGCTCAAACCTTCTCCGAGTGAGAAGAGGTATATAGGCTGTTATGATGATGAATCGTATGACAATAAAGGATTCTTTTATTCTAATGATAACTTTCTTGAAAGAATAGAGCGGATATTAGTGGGATCGTCGATAGAGGGCGCCCTAGGCGGACATATACTGACCAGATTGGCGATATATTAAAGAAGGGCTCAATTACAAGTACCCTTAACCGACGAGCATGCATGAAAAGATTGATGACTGTTGATAAAGCGAAAGAGGTATGTAGGAATCACAGATATATTAACCCGTCGAGCGACCGCGTTCCTTATGATCCAACGGGTGCACACGTGACATTTGGAGAAAGAAAGAAAGAAAATGCATTTATTTGGCCATTGGCACACGAAAACAAGGATCATTACAATAGAAATAAAACAAATACAGTTAAAATAAAAACAAAACATTAATATTAGATTTTATAAAAGAGAAAGCAGCATGGAGCATTTTCTCTTATGATCCACCGGGTGCTCATAAGGACGCTCGAGGGGTTAATATTTTTGTGGTAGGAATCGTAGCAATTAGCGTTCCATAGTCTCTGCCTACCCCCTTGGAAGACAGGCGTCAAGTTACGTATGTATTATGTAACTTTTACAAGTATTAAATAAATTTGATTCATAATCTAATTATACATTCAACTCGTTAAACTTCAAGGTACGCCTGACTTAGGTGCAAGCGCACTATGACGACTATATTGTTAAAAAAATAGCTCTATAGCTTGATTTTCGCCTACAGTTTCGCTCGCGTAATTTACAGGGATTTTTAATGGTGAATGATATTTTCAAATTGGTCCCGTAATTTCGATGGAATGTAAACAAAAATTCATTAGGTATCTTTCTTCTCTATCAGTCTGACTAAATATACTTTTATTTCCGAATAATACACTGAAATAACATAATTATGAATAAATATATACAACTTAAAGTTTACTAAAACAATGACAATTACCAAGATAAAAAAAAAGTAAAAAAAAAAACATCAGGCGTCTAAGAATTCGTCTGCATCGCTGCCTCTATCAGTTAATTACGGAAAACGACTTTATTTACAAAGATATAAAAATTATTTTTATGTCCTTATTATTATTTGTGTAATGTTATAATAATCATTATTATAAGTAACACATTTTTTAATCTGTAACTTAGATTATGCAAGCAACGCCATCTAGTATCAAAATATGAACTAAATAGCATAAAATATAATTTGACCTTTTCTTATTAGTTTTTTATTTATAGATGCATGTTTAATATTTATGAGTGTACAGTAATATGTTATTTAAGTTATGATTCATACAATTGTGTACTAAAATGTCTTCGTGCAAAGTAAATAATTGTAAAAATATTTGTAAATGTATTAAACACATGAAAATAAAGTTTTGTTTCTCCGAAAAGCATTAACGTGTGCATTCTTTATGTAAATAATACAAAGGTCAGATATTTAAAATAATATGAATAATCAGAAAAACCAGTTTTAACATATTTTATAGAGGAAAATACCTATTAAAAAGAAAGAAATATTATCGCGACATTATATTTGCGACACACCTAAATCAAAAGTTAAAATAATAAAATAACAAGAAGGGACAAGTAAAAAAAACCACCAACCACAATAAAATAATTACTTATAGGCATATTATATTCATCCAAAAAATTAAATAAGAAAAAACACGGCAAAAAATAAAAACAATAAAGAAAGGCATAAAAACTTTTTGCCGTCGAAACTTCACGCCGTAACTGTATGCAAATACCTACTACGAATTCCAATGTATGGTCATAGAATTGGACGCATGCATCGAATTTTAATCAACTGACCTTTTTCAATAGAAAGTTATACTTACTTAGGGGAGACAATCCTGTTATCACATCCATTTTCCCAACAAAACACAATTAACATATGTTTTTTTCACTCTATATGGATGTTTCAAACGGTCACCCATTTCTTTGACACTATTTCGCACATGAAAACAACAAAACAAAAGTATTGTAACACATTATTGTACCGCTAAGAACAAATGTCACTGATTGTACATTTTTTTCCTGATTTATGATCAAATCAGTACACTATCACAATCACAAGTATCATTCACCCGAGGTTTGCAAGTCGCAATGACAATCACACGTTCCCTTTAACAAAATATTAGGTAAAACCTCTTAAAACACAACTAAAACTTAGTTATTCGCACTTTAGAATGATTGTTAAAAGTTTATCTATTAGAATTTCACGTTAAAATCACATAAAACCCGTTCCCCGAATCGCACACGACACAAAAACATAAGAAACGTCATTCCACTACGAGCAAACAGGTTTTGTTTTTTTTTCTTCTCGCTCGAGTACCACGTGACAGTATCGAGTTTAATAACGTAGTTCGCGGGTGGATAACTAGATGGCATCACGTGTAGCATACCAAATCACACTCGAAAGTAATTAATTTCGAGCGCTCAGTATTAAGATTACTTCTTCACGTGAATCGACCATGGCAATTTTATTGGCATTCTGAATATTTTCGTTTGAAATGAATTTCATTTTATGTTGATTACAAATATCGACGATAACGCGCCACCAGGCGACTTTTAAACGAAATGTTTTATGTACAGTTTAAATAAAGGTCAAATTCTAGTACATTGTGATTTTGAACTGATGTACCGACATTTATTAGCCGAAAAGGTCAAATTTTCAAGTCTACCTAATTGCTGCTTAGAATTGATTTTTTTTTTTTTTTTTTTTAAAAAACGTTGCCCCACACTAGGATTTTCTCCTGTGTCGTGGGTGCGTTTACAAACATACAAGTTCACATACACAATGACACCCAGACCCGAAACAACAATTTGTGGATCACACAAAGTGTGGTCCCGTGCGGGAATCGAACCCGCGACACGTTGCACGGCAGCCGGTTGCCCAACCACCGCACCAACCGTGCAGTCAAGATTATAGTCAGAATTTTAATTAGATTCCAGATTTGACAATAGCTACTGTCATTTTGTGAAATAATGATACCACATATAATAGTGTAGTGATGCACACAAAAATCGATAAACAATCAGTGTGTGTGTTTTATAATAAATGTTACAGAAAGTGACAGGATAGCTATAGCGATGACGGCGACAATTTATAAAATAACTTATTACCATAATACATCTATCTGTTTTATTTGTCATGTTCCTTCATGATTACATTTTTTTATTTATTTCACACACAATTATAAAAGAAACGTCTTAGATTGTTAATTAATCGTCAAAACTAAATTATCGGTTCAGAAATATTTAATTTCCTGATATAACTACTTAGTTCACGAGAGTAAAATTATAATTATTATAAACGAGAAGAATCGATCCAGAAATATTGCATTTCCATATCGAATAATTTCGCAACGTCACTATTTAGTACTTGTCATAACGTTGCCACACTGAAATTGTCAAATCTGGAATTGAATTAAAATTCCGAGTATAGGTGTGAAGACTGTGTGGAGAAATATTGAACAGTAGTTAGTAATTATGTAGAGTTCATTTTTTTAAATTATCGATAATATTATGATCATAATTACCAGCCGGCATCTATCCTAGGACTGATTAAAATCATCTTCAAACAAAGTAGAAGAAGGATCATTTACCGCCTTTTTACCTAGAACCTAGGACGATTTTATAAGGGACTCGGAAAGCCAAACTTAATACAATTTAGTTCATTAAGTATCCGCGCAATACGGATGCATGAGGCGCTAGTGTTGCAACTCAAGAGTACGAAATTTTACAATATAATGATATTGTAAATGCCGATCGATTGATGATCGATAAAAAATAAATAAAAACCCGACAACAACCCACTCTTTTTTAAATTCTATTAATTAATATACTAAGACTTTCTAAGACAAGGTTTTTCTGAAAACTGTATCCAAATCGGTTCAGCCAATTGCGAGATAATCACGCACATACATACATAGAAGTCGAACTGAGAACCTCATTTTTTTTGAAGTCGTTTGATAACGTAAGGAGCTTATTCAGAAGTATGGGAGGGCCATGCTTCGGCACGAATGGGCCAGCTCGACCGGAGTGATACCACGGCCTCACAGAAAACCGACGTGAAGCAACGCCTGCGTTGTGTTTCGTCGTGTGAGTGAGGTTACCGGAGGCCCAATTACCCTCCCCTTCCCCAATCTCCCCAATTCTCTACCAACGATCCTCAAACTCCTAATGCCCAAAAGGCCGGTAACGCACTTGTAACGCCTCTGATGTTCCAGGTGTTCATGGGCGACGCCGATTGCTTACCATCAGGTGATCCGTCTGCTCGTTTACCGGCTTATGCCATAAAAAAAAGACACCCTATCTATTATTTAAAAAGAAAAAACATTGTTTAAGTATGTTTTTATTTTTAAATTATTGGCCAATAAATATCAAATATTACACGACATAATATTTTTATGAGACATAAATGTAATACATACTATTGTTTTATGTACAATTTAGTGGCAATAAAAATAAGTAAAATAATACAGAGTACCTTTATTTTTTTTCTTTGAAACAAAATTTAACTATAATACGTTAATTGATTTCATTGTTGATCGTTGGTGAAGTGGCTGCAAATGCGACTGCCGAATAAAAGGTCGGCAGTCGGATAGGACTAAAAAACCACTAACTATTATGGGATTTTCTCGAAAATCCTAAGTAATACGAATGAAACTAATGTTCATTATGATGTACAACAGTAAGTTCACCCCCTATTACATGGGACTCATAACATAACTAGTGAAAAAAGTGGGTGTTACATTGTATAATGACTTTTATACGCCAGTGAAAAAGTGGGTGTTACATTGTATAATGACTTTTATACGGTCGGTCGGAATTACCATCGGGTTCAGAGACTGTGTTCTCCTTTTTTAAATCGTCCTTGGACCCATAATACCTCTGCTACACTTTTGAGAATTAGAAGGTTCCAAGGAGGTCCCTTGACTCCACGATTGTATGACAAATCGTTACCTAGCAACGCTCAAACTATTTTGACAGTTACCATAGCAACGATTTGTATCAACTCGACTGGATTTTTTCTTTTGCACGTGGTGAGTTTTTTTCAAATAAAAGTTTGATTAAAAATTCAATGTAAAGAAAGATTATTAAAGTGTTATTAATCCGAGTTAAATTGTAATGTAAGTTGTTTAGAATTTTGGAGTTCGTATAGGCCGATCTGGACATCATTGGGGAGGGCCTATGTATGTTCAGCAGTGATATAATGATAATGATAAAATGATAATGTAGTGATGTGCTATTGGTAATGTCTTTTTCTAAGATAGGGATCACCTGATGGTAAGCAATCGACATCGCCCATGGACACCCCACAGAGGAATTACAAGTGCGTTGCTAGACTTTTGAGGGTCAGGCAGAGGGAAATTGGACCCCCATTCTATCCTCATTCTCACGGCTGCACACAATACAAGCGTAGTTTCACGTGGGTTTCCTGTAAGGCTGTAGTATGACTCCAGTTGAGTTAATCCTTTCCTGTCGAAGTATGGCTCTCCCACGGGTAAAGGATACTTTGTCCAATTGTAGGTTGATGATGATGATGATGATGATGTAATGTAAATAGTATAGAGTTAATAACATAACATAACACCACGCCTTTTGCCCCCGAAGGGATAGGCAGAGGTGCACATTACGGCACTTAATGCCACTGTACAATGTAACACCCACTTTTCATTATTTATATTATGAGTCCCATGTAATGGGGGTGAACCTATTTTTTTTATGGAATAGTAGGCAAACGAGCAGGCGGATCACCTGATGGTAAGCGATAAACGTCGCCCATGGACACCCGCAACACCAGAGGAGACTCAGGTGCGTTGCCGGCCTTTTAAAAAGGAATACGCTCTTTTCTTGAAGGTTTTTTATTGTCATATACCGGGCACATTTCCAGAGTCCATGATACTACCGAGATTTAAAAAAATACTTGGCCCGATCCGGAAATCGAACTCGAGACCCCTTGCCCGGCAGTCGCACTAGCAACCACTCGGCTAATGAGGCAGTCAGAGTTAATAAAAGTATTTATATCTTTCAGCGAGTAGAAGCAAATAAGTCAAGATGCCGGAACTTATAGAGCAGATGTACAGCTCCCAACAAATTGTGATACCGCCCAAGTATCCCTATATTCTGAAGAGATATTGTAAAGGTATGTTTTAGTTCAGTTATTTAAGTAAAAATCTCGCTTTGTGAACACTAAACAAGTTTGTTAGACAAAAGAAAAATACTAATACAAAAAGAGGTAAAAAATCTTATCACATTAATAATCTATAACTTTATAAATTGAATTTTTCTGTACGCGTTTGAGTGGCGCCCTGGATGGTTTAGATTCACAAATATCAGCCCGGCAGATGGCGCTGCAGTTGATATGAAATGAAAATGAAATGAAATGAAAAGAGTTTTATTCGGCATACGGCATGAATGCAAGGAACAAAAAATAACAATACAATACAATTTGATTAAACAACTAAAAAAAAAAAATTTAACACAAGAGAGTGTGTATAAAAAGATAAAAGCTAAATTATAAAACTAGAAGATAATAAAAATCGGTAGATATAATATAAGTTCTGCGCATTATTAGCAGACTTGCCCAAGCCCAATGGGTCGCCAACTCAGCTAAAGGCTGGGCACAGTCAGCACCCAACACTGATTCTCAGTTGGCACCCCTGCAGTGACGCACGGACGAAAGCAAAACATACTTGTATAGTTGATATCTAGGTTAGTTATCCTAAACAGCTGAACTAATTTGAATGAATTTTTGTTTATACATTCAAGTGGATATGCAGGACAACGTCTGTTGGGTCCGCTAGTATATAATTATGTAAAAATGAAACCCGTTTCCCGTTGTCACGTCATAACTTTGTTTTGTTCATGATTTACCTGATTTTTTTTGTTGTGTTTATTATTGTCAGGAGAAGGTTCTTATGACAGAAAAAAGTCCTGAAAATCCTACGGGAACGGGAGAAAACGGGATTCCGCGTACGAAGTCGCGGGCAGAAGATAGTAATATTATTCATGTGAAAGCTTCTTTATTTGAATGTTTGTCCGTCAATCACGCTGAAACTACTGAACGGATTTTGATGAAATTAGGTATACAGCCAGGGTATCGGCTGAAATAGGTGATAGGATATTTTTTATCTTGATTAAATATAGATATAATTGGGATAAACAGGAAACATATTCTAAGCGGACGAAGTCGCGGGCAAGAGCATTAGGACATTTTTTTATACTTGATAGGACGTATGGCGTATCTCGCCTGGTGGTAAGCGATGACCGATGACAATAATGATGACATGAACTTAACGACTTGCCTTTTAACCTTAATTGAATAATGACACATAACATCACGCCTTTTTATCCCCGAAGGGATAGGCAGAGGTGCACATTACGGCACTTAATGCCACTGCACAATGTAACATTTTAGTTAAAAGTGGGTGTTACATTGTACAGTGGTATAATGTGCAACTCTGCCTACCCCTTCGGGGATAAAAGGCGTGATGTTATGTTATGTTGATTAGACATATCGTAAAAAATATGTATGACAAGGGCACGGACCAAGAGTCCCTGGAGAATTAATATTTAACATTGAAAAGAAACCTCAACTGACTTAATTGAATGAAAATTATAATGATTACTTACAATATAATTATCATATTTCTCTCTCCCATTAGCGGCTATAAAAACTCAACCCTACGACCTTTTAAGATGGTCCTTCGAGTACTTCAAAGCCCTATCAGAGCATCGACCACCCCCAGTCAAGCTACGATTGGAGTACCCCATCTACAGCACTGAAGGGGGACTTACAAGAGGATGTCTGAAGGTCTTGGCTCATCAGGTATTGTATAGAAACTTTAGGGAACTATCCTATCCTATAAAAAACTACGACTTAACTATTTTGTTAAACCTACCGACGGCAAGTGCTAATGTGAATTTTTTCTGAGTTATATGCTTTCTAAGATCGTTTAGACACCACTGACAAACGGTGAAGGAAAACATCGTTAGAACCTGGACTTACAATTTCTAATTATAAATATTGATCAAACCTTCTCCGTGTGAGAAGAAGCCTTTGGTCAACAGTAGCCACTTATAGGCTGTTGATGATATTGATGAATTAATATTAGGGACATTAATTTTCCAGCTATACGGAATGTCAGAAATTCCGACCACAACCTTAAGGCAGGCATGGAACGGTTTCTGCCTGGACTTCATGGAGCTGCAGAGGATCTTGTGTCTTTGTGAGGTCCACCTGAGAAAGGATCATGTACCATTCTTCCATTTCCTGGCAGTCGCTGGTGGAATGCTGACCAAGGTTGGTTTTATCTCGCTAGTGCGTAGTTCGCAGTTTGTAGCTCGTAGTGCGTAGCTCGTAGTGCGTAGTTCGTAGATCGTAGTGCGTAGCTCATAGTGCGTAGCTCATAGTGCGTAGTTCGTAGATCGTAGTGCGTAGCTCGTAGTGAGTGCGTAACTCGTATTGCGGACACTTAGGGCCTACGCGATGCATCGATGCGATCGCAATATACTTTATCATTTTGTCATTCATTATCATAGATCTTGATCTTATAAAATTAAATGGTTATTTATTACAATTTTTGGTGTTCACATTACAACACTATTCATAAATTTCATTAAATTCTTAACATCACAATCATTTATGTAGTTGTTCCTCTAAAGGCTGAACGATTAGCATTAGATCATCGCAGGAAATGATGTTGTTTGACAATTAATGATTTCTATTGTTTAAGTAAATTCGTGTTAAATTAATTCCGTGTCTCCTATTTCCTAACACGTTTTGCGGGTTTTGTTTGAGTAGTCAAAATACTTTTACATCAAAATCTAACGAAATTATTAATACTGATCTACAATGCAAAATTCTTATTCTGTCTGTCCACGCAACGGGTCCTCGGTTCGAGTTCTGGCTTGGACACAGCAAATGGTTTTATATCGGACTCACAACATAACTGTTACATACATTTTACCGGGACGACACAACCAGTTGCCGCTACCAACAAAATGTATACAGCTCTATTGAAAGTTACTCTCCTGGTGTCCGGTTGGTTGTCCACCAATCTGGCAGCGCAACCAACTCGGACCGCATCATTAGAGGTATATTTTAATATTGACGCAGTGTGATGTGGCGACTTTGGTATCTGTATGGTGTCTTGTTTGGTTGCTTACGTACACCACGGTGGCACGATAAGTTGCGCTGCCATAGTGAAATATAGCCCTATAAGCAGTCTGCCCTGCTTTTCTTTACCCGGATTTAAAGATGTGTCGTTTTGTACGTAATAGAACGATCTATTTTCTTCTACAGTGTCTAACCCACACCATGATCCTGCTCTGTGAGTCTCTAACCAAGGAGCCTGATGGTGGATCAGCAGCTATACCAGTTGAGGAGTTTCTCACCATGTACAAGTACCTAGCTTTGATAGACGCCTCCAAAGATGTGCAGTACCATAACGGATATAAAGAAGGTTAGCCCAATTTAATTTTTAAGCTAGTTAAATATTCTTAAGAAGCTAGCATCGCACTCAGGACTCCTCTGGTGTTGCGGGTGTCCATGGGTGCGCTGATCGCTTACCACCAGGTCCCCCATCTGCCCCCTATGCCATAAAAAAGATTATCTTAGCAAAGGCAGTATAGGCCTTCAGTTAGTTGGAGTGACGATATACGTTATATGGAGGAGTTGAAGATCGAGCTCTGTAACGTGCCACTGGAGAGGCCTATGTCCAGCAGTGGAGAGAAGCGGACTGTTGATTATGAAATTATCTGTAAGCCAAGCTAAGATACGTTTGTCAAGTCATCGCCCTAATTCTTTTATTAAGAGCCGTCTAAAGGACTACACTTTGACACAAACTGGACAGCAACAATCCAGTCGTGGACTGTTACGACCTCAGAGGTTGGATAGAGCTGAAGGTTGGCCTTCCAGTTTTCTTTATACATAGGTACGTGATGGGTCGACGTTTGATCACTATCTTGCCTGGTGGTAAGCGATGATGCGACGATGGAGCAAACCTATAAGCAACCTATTCATTTAGACCTTGAAGACACCCAGGTTTTATCCTGTTATTTTGTTCCATACCACTGAACTATGGCATAAATCTATAGGTTTATAGGTGTCTAAACATAGGTGTGTAGACGAAAATTGATGATGACACAATACGGGATGCTTACTCTTGATACCAATCTCAATGTCAATGCAATTTCAATCCAATAAAATCTCAATAATGATTCAATGTCAAAACTATACAACCCCTACCGTAGCTGTTGAAATAGCATTCAGAGTACGGAATATAAAGCCTAACTCAATGCCATTTAGTTCATTCAATATCCACGCAATACGGATGCAATGGGCGCTAGTGTTGCAACTCGAGAGTACGAAATTTGATAATACCAATGTCAATCGATCGGAATTGGAGTCAAGAGTAAGCCCCCAGATGGCCTGATACTTGAAAGATAATATGTACCACTCATTCTAGGTAATGAGCCCGAACCGGTGGTGGAAGAAGAGGAAGAAGTTCGTCCAGAATCTGAACCGGTGAGTTGCTGAAGTATGTATTAAGTCTCTTAGACTCTTCTTGAAATTCGACACTCCGTACTGATTGCGGGAGAAGTGTCTAATTAGGTTTTTTCAATTCTTAGTGAAAGTTTAGAGTATGGAATATACAAGCTACGATAAATATATGTACGTCAGTCTACGTTAATAGAATAGATTTTTCCATACCTGTAGCAGTTTTAAGTGTGGGAGAGCTATGCTTCGGCACGAATGGGCCGGCTCGACCGGAGACTCAGAGAAAACCGACGTGAAACAACACTTGCGTTGTGTTTCGTCGTATGAGTGAGGTTACCGAAGGCCCAATTCCCGTATCCCCATTCCCCAACAATCCTCAAATTCTTAATCCCCCAAAACGCCGGTAACGCATTGTGTTTTTGGGGTTTACGGTGTCCATGGGAGGTGCCGATTGCTTACCATCAGGTGATCCGTCTGCTCGTTTACCAGATTATTCCATAAAAAAGTCATTTAGTCCAGTCTTCTTTAATAGTTCTAAGTCATTCAATACAATTCTTCTTCAGCCCGAATCTGAAGTAGAGGACGATTATTGGGATGACCAGGACCTTCAAAGGCTGTCCGTGATAGATGACAATGTCGCTAAGACAGCCAGGCTGAGTGTGAAACTCAACCTCCCTACTATCGGCAAGATAGAAAGATCTCCTTCTATTGAACGGCTGACAGAAGTAGAAAGAGAAAACTATATGCGGGAGAGAATTGGTTATCCTTCTTCTTTTTTAAAGTAGAGTAGTTTAAGCGGGAGAGTAGAAAACTTTGGTTTATTCTTCTACTCTTTTGCTGTTGTAAGAGATGAATAAGAAATATCGAGTATTCAGTCATTTGATAGGGATGGGAGAGTAGCGCCTTTTAAATCCGAACCTTTTAAATTGGGATGTCCAGCCTGCTTGCCAAGTAAGGAGATTATTGCTAACCTTCTTATGTAGATGATGCGCATAGTGCAACTGGGGTTGGTAACGATGATAATGAAGTAAAATAGAAGAGTAAAGAATCAGCAGCTGTAGCCAAATGCCACTTAGCGCTTGTTTACATGTAGAATAGAAAATCAAATTCTATGGAATTGACGTAAATTTTGACACTTGACAGTGTCATCCCCATACATTTAGTTTTCTACTCTCTCTGTAGACAAGCGCTAAAGTGGCGTTTGGCTAAAGGCCCAGGATTTGATTTGAACGCTATATAATTCTTAGCCTTAGACTGCGTCGTTGGCCGAGTGGGGTCTCGGGTTCGATACCCGGGTCGGGCAAAGTATGGGTTTTTTTTTTTAATCTCAGTTGCACGTAGTGCTGGAATTTTGCTGGGAATATGGCAATAGGCTCACCCCCTATTACATGGGACTCGTAACATAAATAGTGAAAAGTGGGTGTTACATTGTGCACTCGCATTAAGTGCTGTAGGTAATGTGCACCTCTGCCTACCTTCGGGGATAAAAGGCGTGATGTAATGTTATGTAATAATTTTTAGCTCAATTGATTTCGAATATTTTGGGGAAATTCAGGGAATTTTAAGTTTTTAAATCTTTTTTTGTAATATATTTCAGGAAAACCTATGCCAGACGAGGAGATTGATGTTAGTTCATATTTTGTATTGTCTAAGTTACTATTCATAGTTAGTTGTAGACAGCCTCCTTGGTACCGTAATCGTAGAACTATTTAAATTCCCATCGGTGAAACATGGACGTAATTAAAAAAAAATTACGAATTTATTAAATTATGCCTATGTGATACTATCACATAGGCATAATTTAATAGATTCGGTAAAGCGTTTTTAGATATTTTGACATAAATCAATATGTTTTTGAAGTTTTTTTTTGACATGCCCTTTTTCACCATGTGTAATATAATGAATAAATGTTTGACTATTATTATGTACCTACATTCGCCAGCACATCACCCTATTACAATGTGTAATTTTTTGTAATCCAATTTTCGACTTTATAATGTCAATGTCAAATTATACTAATGAACTTTTACTTTGAATAATTAAACCATAATTTGGTACTTTTGAAACGTCAACAAATACAAAATAAATAATAGTCTGTCAGTCTATTCGTCAGTGAAGCTAGGTGCTCATTCCAAAATATAGATTCGAATGGAGAAGAACGAGCAAGAAACTGCATTCGTTTTTATAATAACTATCGTGAGACATACTAAATTAAGTAAAAACGCGGGTTACTAGCAGAGCTTTTCTCAGTATATTCACGTGAGTAACCCGCGTTTTTACTTAACTCCATTCGTTATTATTTAGACTATAGAGTAGAGTAGAGTATTCTATAATAGAGATAAGGGTACCTAGGTTGACCTGCTACCCACTGCACTAAACTGATACCCGTATATGTTGATGCTGGTACCTTATGCTGGTATATGAAAAGGGTCTCCTAAACAAACGGTAGAAACAGAACTGAGTATATGATATGTCTACTCAGTTCTCTGAGTATACTATACTGTATGTCGTGGTGGCCCGGAGGTTTAAGACGCCCACGTATGAGGGCGCGGGGTCGTAACCTACCAACGGCAAGTACCAATGTGACTTTTTCCGAGTTATATGTACTTTCTAAGATTATTTAGACACCACTGACAAACGGTGAAGGAAAATATCGTGAGGAAACCTAAGCTTATAATTTGTAATTATAAGTTTGTAATCACCAACCCGCATTGAGCAAGCGTGGTGATTTATATGCTCAAACCTTTTCCGTGTGAGAAGAGGCCTTTGGTCAGCAGTGGGTACTTATAGGCTGTTGATGATGATACTATGTACTTAGTTAAATTTGTGGTCAACTACTTGGAGATTAACATTTAAAATAAAAATTAAGTCATGACTGCACGGTTGGTGCGGTGGCTGGGCAACCGGCTGCCGTGCAACGTGTCGCGGGTTCGATTCCCGCACGGAATAACACTTTGTGTGATCCACAAATTGTTGTTTCGGGTCTGGGTGTCATGTGTATGTGAACTTGTATGTTTGTAAACGCACCCACGACACTAGAGAACATCCCAAAAGCGGGGCAACGTTTTTTCTAAAAAAAATTATATATTTGGTTTTCAGAAAAAACTGAGACATCTCAGTATTTCGAAAATGAACGAATCAGCAGTGATGAAAACTGGTGAGTGTAATTTTATATCTCTTATCCCATTTTTTATAAATAACATAGTTTTAATCGTAATAGTGGATGTTGCATATAATATTTGCACGTCTGCCAATCCATTTGGGGAATTAAAGGTGTGAAGTTCACATTATAACCGCCTCGTTGGCCGAGTGGTCGCAAGTGTGAATGCTGGGCAAGGGGTCTTGGGTTCGATTCCCGGGTCGGACAAAGAATTGCTGGGTTTTTAAAATATTTGTCAGAAGTAGCATGGAGTCTGGTATTGTGCCCGGTATATGGCAATAGGCTCTGCCCCTATTACATGGGACTCTCATAACAAGAATAGTGAAAGTGAGTGTTACATTGTGCATTAAGTGCCGTAATGCGCACCTCTGCCTAACCCTTTGAGGAAAAAAAGGCGTGATGATGATGAAGATACAATATGCTAGTAAATGTGCAATAGCGACCGTAAATTAAGTGTCAAGATCGACTCCTGTTTTTCCAAGTGTCATTAAAGAAAATATGAAACGTCATTAACTTGTGTTTTTTACGTTATAAGCCGATAAACGAGCAGACGGATCACCTAATGGTAAGCAATTGTCGTCTCCCATGGACACCTGGCATAATTAGCCTTTTTCCTGGGAAGATTAAAAAAAAATCCGCTAGGGGCAGCACCGGTGGGGGGTACATATGTTTTGAATTCTCTATTGACAACAACGTCAAACGTACGTCTTATTATTATCAGAATAAATAAATATTGTGATAAAATTTTTTTTTTTTAAATAGTCATGCCTACAAAACATTGCGCATTCGCAAATTGTACGTCTGATAGTCGGTACAAGCAAGATGGTGTAAAATTTGTGCCATTTATAAAACCACAAGTTAACAAAAAAAGTGTCCCGGACAAGATGATCTTGCACTTTTGCAAATTTTAATTTCGCTCCAGGTACATCATCTTCAGTTAATTCCATTTTAATTCTACACGTTTGACTACCCCTATACTTATTATACTCTTTGCGTTTGACGTTGTTGTCAATAGAGAATTCAAAACATATGTACCCCCCCCCACCGGTGCTGCCCCTAGCGGATTTTTTTTAATCTTCCCAGGAAAAAGGCTAATTATCTGAAGCCTTGGTACGAGGTTGTTTTACGTTAAAAGTAATCGACTACTATACTATAGACTGCATTCGGAGCTCCGATTGGTTAGTTCATTGGAGCCGACCAATCACAGCGCCGAACCCGTACTCGTTTCGATTACTTTAAACGTGAAATAAACTTGTACTAAAATCTCCGAGGCGTTAAGATTTTTTCATTTTTGAAAGTCTTATTATACACCGTTAAATTTTAGTCGTTTTAATCCCATGGACCTGTGGTTTAACTAACAGAATACTACTCATTACAAGCTTGTACTGCGGTGTAACATAAAAAATAATAAATTAGCAAATGATAAGATTATACTCGCAAAATGTTTGAAACCAAAAGTTGCGCCACGAGATAGTTACCTACGTCGTCGTCGGTCGTTGCGTATCGGGCAGTGTAGGTACCTACACGGCCCGATCAAGCATAAGGTTATTGACTCGATCAACTGATGTTTGCGTAGGTAAACAAATAAATTGATTCCAAATTTTCCTTCATACTTTTACGGGCTTAGGACCGACATAACTGTACTAACGGTTCGCATTATTTATTCACTCATGCGAAAATTGATTCGAGTTATTAAAAAAAGTACTTTTTTTTTAATTTTATTTTTACCAATCGATTCAAATTTAACGGTGTATAGATAACTGCTGAAATGTGTAAATATTTGTAAATACGTGTTTGTTAACTGCTGTAAATAAATAGCTTTGTTCAAAATTCTGTTGGCGCACTTTAATAGGGTAGTTTCCAAAATTTTGTTTAATTTCTGTCTGGTAGATTATGTTAAAAATTATATACATATATACTAGCTTTTACCCGCGGCTTCGCTCACGTCACAAAAAGATAAAATCGCGCCATCTATACCAATACTTTTGTTTTTCCTCGGGAATATTAAATTTTTCCGGGTTAAAAAGTACCCTATTATTTAATCCAGACTTCTAATTTTACGTCTGCAAAAATTCAAAGCAATCGGTTTAGTAGTTACGGCGTGAAAGTGGAACAAACAAACAAACTCACTTTCCGATTTATAATATTAGTAAGGATACTTTCGACGATATATAATATTTTTTCATTATCTAACTGACGAACTAATTTGATTGTTAATTTTGATACCCTGTCAATTACCCAATTGGTAGAAAATATTGGGCACATTATTAAATATTTCGATTTTCAAAATTCTGTAAAATAGCGTGGACGTGTATCTCAACCTCTTTACTTTTACTCTTGACCACTTTACGACGATCGATCCTTGTGATCGATTGTAAGGGATTCAGAATATAAGAATTGTTGGGGATTCAGTGATTTGATAGGTTAGGGCGGAAGGTAATTGGACTTCCGGTAACCTCACTTACATGACGAAACACAACGCAAGCGTTGTTTATCGTCAGTTTTCTGTGAGGCCGTGGTATCACTCCGGTCGTGCCGGCCCATTTTATTATGTGCGTCACTAACCCTTATGTTATAGCTACATTACTAAAAATCCTATAAAGTAGGTAATTGTTATTATAATATAAAATACTTATTATTATTATAATACTAGCTTATGCCGGCGACTTCGTACGCGCAATCCCACTTTCCCCCCGTTCCCGTTCGTGATTTTCGGTAAAAAGTATTGAATAAAAAGTATCCTATGTCCGTCTCCTGGTTCTAAGCTACCACCCCGCCAATTTTCATCCAAATCGATTTAGTCTTTCTTAAGTTATAAATAGTGTAACTAACACGACTTTCTTTTATATATATATATATATATAGATAATATAAAATTATAAAATACTCTATTAACTTCATTTTAGTTCCTTTTAAGTTCCATATATCAGTTTGACAAATAAAAAGCCGTATCTTTGTTACATAGAAGCCACAGTTGAGCCGGAGGTGGAAGTTGAGGAAAAGAGGGATGTGATAGACATATATGTCTATGACGAAGAAGATAACCCTGTCGTTTATGAATTATATGGTTTATACAGTTTTATTTATTTAACTACCAGTCGCAGTCTGCAGATGTTTGAAGTCAGAATAGATGATAATACACATGTTAAATAAATATTTATGAAACAGGAGATGTAAATAAAGAAATTTTCAATAAAAGTTAAGTTATTCGTCTGATTCCTGGGTGCTTACTCTCGAAACCATTCTCAATGTCAATGCAATTTCAATCCAATAAAATCTCAATAATTACTCAATGTCAAAACTATACAACCCCAATCGTAGCTGTTACAATAGCATTCAGAGTACGAAATATAAAGCCAAACTCAATACAATTTAGTTTATTAAATACTAGATTCTACACGCGGCTTCACTCGCGTCACAAAAGGATAAAAAGTAGCCTATCTGACATATACCAATACACACAGCGCCATCTATATCAATAATTTCGTTTTCCCTCTAGAATATCAAATTTTTCCGCGATAAAAAGTACCTTATTATTTAATCCAGACTTATAACTTTACGTCTGCTAAAATTCAAAGCAATCGGTTTAGTAGTTACGGCGTGAAAGCGGAACAAACAAACAAACAAACAAACAGACTCCCTTTCCGATTTTTAATATTAGTAACGATCCACGCAATCCGGATGCAAGGGGCGCTAGTATTGCAACTCAAGAGTACGTAATTTCACAATACCAATGTCGATCGATCGGAATTGGATTCAAGAGTAAGCCCCCTGGTCAGTTAGACCTTCTAATCACATCAGGTGAGTGAGGTTAAGAGACTAACGCTGCGTACTGCGTGAGAGATCTGGAAGCCAATGCGATTATGAAGGGGTGACACGTGAATTCAAGGCTCGTACACAAATCTAACTGCGATGTCGCATCGCAAAAATTTGCGATGTATATACGTTTAGTACGGTTGACGGTCGTCAAAGGAATGGTCATCCTGGGAGATGCCTTGTTGCATGAAAACCCTTCATCGCGTATTTTTTTGCGTTGCGAATTCGCATCGCATCGCATCCCAGTTTTGTTTACGAGCCGTAAATGCGATGCGGTGTGACGCGGTGGCTATGGTCTACGTGCATGCGAATTGTTTCATTATAACCAAACAAAAAATTACAGCACTGCAGCCGCGGAGAACCTAACGGGTTACCGGGGCTCCGGCTCGAAGTGTAGGACTAAGAACGGGGTGGTTTTTAGCCAGCAAGAATCTGACACTCCCTCCCGCCTCACCCAGGCGGGAGCAGGCATTCGATGAATTTCCCCCCTTAGCAAAAAAAAAACGCATCCAAATATGATAGTTCACGCGAAAATATCAAACCAACTGATTGCGTTTATTTCGTATTGCTCCGCTTCGCATCCCACGGGCGTATTGTTACGTAGGACACTTGTCTTCAATACAGTTTGTGGTCGCATTCGCTTCTGGATAGTTTACGCAGGACGTAGCGTGAGTGTTCTCCTGTTCCACTGGACTATAATAGTATAATTCAATTACCAAATAAACAACAAACATTTTTACAAGTTTCAAAGTAATACTATCTTTACAAAATTATGTAAATCTGCAATCTGCGATGGTTTGTATGTATGTAGATAAAGCCGAATAGAGTATTACGTGAAATCTATATTATGTTGTTAACTAGTTATTTAACAGTGTAGTGTCTTAATAGATTAGATTTGAATGTAAAGGTCTTAGTGTTATTTCAGTTTTTTACCTTAAATGTTAATACCCTTACTAAATGTTGGACTTTTAGTACTTTAAAGTATTTAGTTGTAGTAAAATACCAAATAATCGTTATACGTATCTGATAAAAGTACAGCGTAATTTGATAAATAGTATATATTAGTAAATTTAGCTTGTTGCAATTATCGCTTCGAATTTATGGCTGATTTCATTGTCACGCTGACAGCTCAACGCGTAGTTGGTCAGCGCTGACGATCAGCGTGCCTCATTTTATTATTGTCCGTCCTGCAGCTGTAGCCAAATGCCATTTAGCGCTTGTCTACTTGTAGAATAGACAACCAAATTATATGGAATCGACGTAAATTTTGACACTTCTCAGTGTCATCCATGCGTTAAGGCTGGTTTCAGTGTCGCGCTGACTGTATGCTGACCGTTGGCGCTGATAACCGAGTCACATGAACTTCTGGGAACCGTGCGCGCTGATAGCTACGCGTAATTCAACAACGCTACCTAGAAGTTCATACATTTCCGCTGTCAGCGCCGACGGTCAGCGTGCAGTCAGCGCGACACTAAAACTAGCCTTAGTTTTTAAATCTCTCGGTAGACAAGCGCTAAGGTGGCTAAAGGCTGACTGGGAGTTGTGCGTCGGCCCTGCGTTGCTGTCAGCGCTGACCACTGTGCGTACAGATAAGCAACGCGTCATTAAAAAAACGCTTCTTAGAAGTTCATTTATCTCGCTTGTGAGCGCCGACAGTCAGCGTGCAGTCAGCGCGACTATAAAACCAGCCTTATTTATCGTCTCTTAGTTAGATAACTAGATTTTACAAATAGTATCCTAGTTAGATTTATCAACTCAGCACTTACTATAATAGAAGTAATTCCTTCAGGAGAGCCTAAAGAAGAAGTACGCGAAGTTGTGACTGATACTGAAACTGAAGTAACCACTGAAAAGTCAGAAGAAGATGTAGTGGTAGAAGTAGAAGTAGAGGAACCTCCACCTCCTGGACAGAATGATAAAGAGAGAGTCGCGCTGTTTTTAGCTGAAGTAATTTCATTACTAACTTTTACTGAGCTTCTACGTGTAAGAAGAGGCCTTTGTTCAGTATACGGCATGTATAGACTGATGATCAGGAGTTCTTCAATTTTAATACTCCCAAATACCTGATAGAATAGTTACCTATTAACCGTAGTGTAGAGTTTTATTGGAGTCTGTGATAAATAGACTATTCGACACAAACCAAGTGTACTGGTCTTTTCTAAGCCACCAGGTGATGGAAGAGTAGAAAACATTTATCACCACCCCTACTCTTCCCAAGGGTCGTATACCCGACTAAGGGATTACACAGTTAACAGAGACTAGGCAGCAGCGCTCTCTGATAAACCTGAACCTTTTAAACTATATTCTCCAACCCTTCTGCCACGCGAGCGTTGAGATTATGGCAAACCCTCGTATGTAGAGGCATATTGTCCAGCAGTGGATGACCAGGGCTGTTGATGATGAACCTTTCTAGCAAACGACTTTCCTTCCTTCCTAAAACCTTCTCCTTCCCATCCTAGATAGAGCAAGTGCGAGAGGAGCGTTTGAATGATATAACGACGACCTTCGAAGAACTGGCGGCGCTGGTGGATAGATACAGAACCGCTAACTATGATCTGGGTTAGACTTCTTTTGTCATAGAGGATTTTGTTAGAAGTTTTTGTGTAATTATCGTGAGACATGCTAAGTGAATTCAAACCACGACTTATGCCCGAATGTTAGAAAATGCTACTCAATTTGCTGCTGCCTCGTTGGCCGAGACTTCCGGGCAAGGGGCCTCGGGTTCGATTCCCGGGTCGGGCAATATATTACTAGGTTTTGTTCAAAATTCTCAGTAGTAGCACGGAGTCTGGAATTGTGCCCGGTATATGGCAATAGGCTCACCCCCTATTACATGGGACTCATAACATAAATAGTGAAAAGTGGGTGTTACATTGTACAGTGGCATTAAGTGCCGTAGTGTGCACCTCTGCCTACCCCTTCGGGGATAAAAGGTGTCATGTTATGTTATGATGTTATATATGCTACTCAATTTAAATCACGCTCAAGTATAGTTCTGTCTCTACAAATTCTTGGTAATATGACAGAGACGGCACGATATTTAAGTACAATTTAGAATTGAGAAGCCTTTTGTTGTAGTAATTTGAAATTGGCGCGTTCTTTCTACATAATGACAGATGACAGGTCGTTGATCTCATCTGCGCCATCACTGCTGTAATGTGCATTTGTTCATTCAATAAAACTAATTAATTAATTAAAAAATCGTTTAATTACCTTTCAGTATTTAGGTGTTACTTACTTGAACTAGGTATTTGAGAAAAGCTAGCTAGCTAGTAGCCGTGGTTTTTAAGTACTTTTTGTTGTATATACTGTAGACTTTTGAATAAGAAAATTGTAGTACGATTATCTATCTAGTCATCTAGTTTAATGTTGCATTTGTCCCGATTAATTCGGTTTTTCATAGTATTAATTGTGGAAACATTGTGGGTTGTTAGGTAATTGTATTACCTGCGCACCATTAATGCACCATTTTGTAGAATTAACTAAATGCATGTCTTATCTATATTAATTTAGTGTGTAAAAATGTTTCTTCATCTCCATTAAAATGTCATGTAATAATGTCAAAATATCGAAAATTTTAAATCAAATATGTCGTGGTGCCCAAAGGTTTTTGACGCCCGCTTCTCATGCATGAGAGTGCGAGTTCGAAACCTACCAACGGCAAGTACCAATGCTCAAACCTTCTCCGGGTGAGAAGAGGCTTTGATCAAGAGTGGGCATTTATAGGCTATTGATGACGATAATGATAAAACCAGATATGGATAATCATTTCATTCTTGTCCTGAAGATAGTAAAAGAACTATGTATTGTGAAGGCTTAGTAAAATGTTCACAGGCATGGTGGCTGGACGTCAAATGTCGACCACCAGCGGGGAGTTCATAGTCCAGCATATTGAGCAGGAAATAATGGCGTACATTGATGAGCAGATCGCCATCCTACCAGACCCTGATTTGAAAAAGAAGAAGGTATGAATTGTTTGTTTGTTTGTATTTGAACGCAATTTATGATCGGTTTATGTGAAAAAGTATGCAATACACATTACGAAAAATAACCGCATTTTGACAAGCTTTTTATTTTTTTTTATTAATTGGGACTGAAGTTTGACCAATATATCGCCTGGTGGTAAGCGATGATGTGGCCTACGATGGAGCATTTTTAGAGAAGATCACCTATTTCTTTAATTTTTTATCCTATTATGCGCCTATTTCTTACCTAAGACATGTTCTTCTTTAACAGGCAAAACCGGAAGAAGTGGCGATGATCAGGGATATCTTAGAGACCTTCCTGGATGAAAACATGGACATTATAGTACCAGAAGTGGAAGAAGTTGAAGAGGAAGAGGTGCCTATACCCGATGTAAGTGATGTTCATGTTTATAGTTGTATTTTACTCATCTTTTTAAAGCTTTTATTTAATAGGACTGCTAGAGGTATTTGCTTTGGAGGTCAAGAGTTTTCAAATGAGAGTCATGCTTCGGCACCAATAGGACGGCTCGACAGCAGTGATACCAAGGGCTCATAGGAAACCGGCGTGAAACAACGCTTGTGTTGTTTGAGTGTGGATAACAGAGACTCGATTTTTACCTTTAAGGTCGAAAATAGTAACCGAGTTCAGACCAAAATCTTTGGAGCAATCTTGGTTTTCGACAGAATCGCCATACCAATCTTCTCCTATAAGTCAGCAGCGCTTTTTTAAATACGATGGGTCACCATTTGGCCATTGTTTGATATCTAGTGTTACGGATGTCCGTGGGCGATGCCAATTGTGTACCCTGAGATGATCCATCTTCTCTTTTGCTGACCTATATTCTATATATACTCTTATAATATAGGTTTCCCTAGTGTAAGAGACAGGGTTTTACATGGCCTGCGCATAGATTATTGTCTTTTAGATTTAAGATTTGCAATCATGTATTTATATCTATGTATGTTTGATGGTAAATAAACTATTATAATTATTATTATACAAAATGTCATCCAGGTTTTGTTTTATTTATATGACTCCATTCCAGATAATTGTAGTGTACGCAGTCCCCGGTATCGGTCCTCCAGTGGATAGTGAGATCATGGCGGACTTTGAGGAGTACATCAGGGAGGTCACGAAGGTGCAAGCAGAGATGGTGATGCCAAGGAACATTAGGCACTTCCTCTGCCCACCGCTTGAGAAGTAAGATGCTTTGAAATACTGAAAAATGGGCTTTAGAAATAATACAAGCTTTAGGCTGCGTTTCCATTGACGCGGAGTTGGGTAGAGAGGAGCGGTGATGAGCGGTGATGAGCGGTGAAAATTGGTCAGTGTTTCCACTGAAGCGAAGCGGACTGAATAGGAGCACAGCGAAGCCTACTATCGGAATCGCGCATTTTTGCGCTTAGTTACAATCAACCTTTCAGAACGCAATACGTCTTGTTGTCGTTTAAATAAAAAAAGAAAAAAGGAATCATATTCAAAACGAATCAGATGCCGTAGCATTGACTGTTGCCCTCGCTGTCCTCCACACAGCACGTTGTATTTTTATTATGAATATCCGGTCAGCTCTGCTCCACCCCGCTCATGCTGTTTCCATTAAAGCGGAGCAGAGATTTCGACCATAGTGATTGGTAAATTCGTGCACCGCTAAGCTCCTCTACGCCCCGCTCCGCGTCAGTGGAAACACAACCTTATCCACTTCATTCTCTGTGTTTGGAGACGGCAGTTTGAATATATTTACGACCCCTCCTCATCCCGAGGCTGTTGAAAGAGCTGACTAATGTCTAAATACTCAAACGCCACTGAATTTTGAATATGCGCTTAAAGGCGGTCCCGCACCGGGAGCGTTCGCGTGTAATGTAACGTTACAGTTCTGAGCATTACATCAGTGAAGGAGGAGAACCGAGCATTACATTGCGCACCTTGTAATGATACAACTTGTTACATCAATGTCTGACATCTTGCTATGAAATGCTCAAAGTCGAATCTATATGTTACATTACACGTGAATGCTCCCGGTGAGGGTGCACCTTGACACTTTGACAGAAATGGCGCGAAATTTAAGTACAAGTTAAAATTGAGTAGCTTTTCAGTATTTGGGCGTAAGCTATTCCATGGGCGTAAGGGACTACACATTTAGCAGCGATAAGCTCTCTGATAAACCTGGATATTTTAGACTAAGAGATTTTTATAACTTTGTCTAATCATATATGTATTTTCTGCCTTTATCATACTTTACCTGTTTCTTCGAATAATGACAGATACAGAGCATAATAATTCTAATTTGTTACATCCTTTGATAAATTTCCGACCTTATTACATTACAATAAAGATAAACTTCCTTTAAACTCTCCTTTCAGATACATCGAGACAGAATACGATACCAATGAAAAGGTACATTCATCAGACCAGGTTCCTGTTGGTGGTACTATCGCCGAATAATTTCAAACGTTAATGTTATTAGAATATAGTCCATTTTTTATTGCACTAAACCATATTATACGTATGTTCTCTAAGATCATTTAGGATAACTGTCGATGTTGCAGCATTTGACGAATGCATACATCCTTCACACAACACTAGGCGGCCTACAAATGGGTAAAGCTTGCATCTTGCTAAAAACAATGATCCACGAAGCGGCAACGTTAAGCCCGTTAACATTTTTGACGAGTTCATGAATTCAAGTATATTATAGGTTTTTATGGATCGGCAATGCACATACAAGGGCTCGTTCACAAAACTGCGATGCTATGAGATGCGAATTCGCAACGCAAAAAATTACGATGCAAATTGCTGCGATGTGATTTCGTGCGACAAGGCATCTCTCAGGGTGACCATTCCTTCGACGACCGTCGACCGTACTAAACGTATTTTAAATTGAAATCTAGGACGTGACATGGGTCGTAAAAAGAAGTGTGCACTTAGGAGATACAGGAAAAAGGAACAAAGAAGATTTTGGGAAGATAAGATTTTAATCAATTCGCACATTTTTGCGATGCGCATCGCAGTTTTGTGTAGGACCCTTAAAGCCAATGATAGAACACTAGTAGATGAATGTCCTGCAAAGTCGTGTCGCCAACGACATCGGGTGAAGTTGCACAACGTCATCGGACTTTAGTCAACATATCTGGCAACATGAACGTCGCTAATGACATAAGTTGCGCGTTGTCGCCATATGATTATATCAAGCGAAATCGACCGGCTTCGCTTGATATATAGAGGGTATATGTCTTGGGACATTGGGACCTCGAGTATGCTTGGTTTAATGCTCCCAAGTGTCGCAAGCGTTCATAGGCGTAACTACTTACCATCAAGTCGGCCATTTACTGGTCACTTTGCTACCGTCGTGGTAAAAAAATTGGCGATTTTTTTTTTGACTTTTGAGCACCATCTCGCCTGATAGTAAACTGTGCATTATCAAATGACTTAACGTAGACAGTAGACCTTAGTCTTATCTTCTTACATTTCTATCATAAGCTACTTGGAGTTAGCACAATATATCTTCTTCCATTCTTCTCTATCAGACGTTAGCTCATCACACTCTTCTTTCTATCATTTGTGACCATTTATCCATTTGTTTGTCGTCCTCTATTTCAAACACAACCCATGACACTGCGTCTATGTCAGAAGGTAATCTGACAATGGATTTAACTAAGAATATGGTACCTACTTCTTGAATCCTTCTTCAGGTAATAGTGATGATGACAGGGTATGAGTCCGTCAGTTAGATAATAAAAAAACATATTAGACAATGTATATTTGTATTTTGACGTATAAAAAAACAATCTTATTCCTTTACCTAAGTCGCGGAGAACCTAACGGGTTACCGGGGCTCCGGCTCGACGTGCAGGAGAAGGAACGGGGTGATTTTTAGTCAGTAAGAGTCTGACACTCCCTCCCGTCTCACCCAGGTGGGAGCAGTCATTCGATGATTCCCCCCCCCCCCTTTAAAATACCTTTACCTATATTATGTAAAACTGAAGAGTTTGTTTGTTTGAATGCGCTAATCTCAGGAACTACAGGTCCGATTTGAAAAATTCTTTTTGTTTTGGATAGTCCATTTATCGATATAGACTATAGACCGTCTCGCTATGATGAATAGGAGCCGAGCAGAAGTAGCTAGTAACGAACTTAAGTTAAAAGTAATTGATCGCTAGCGCTACCTCATTGCTCAACATGAAATTTACTAAATCGTGACGTTACACAATATTTGAAATCGATATATCGTCAAAAGTATTTGTTTCTGTAAGAAAACTATGTGTCTACCTAGTTAGATAGTCTGGTAGATTGTTTTAAAACATTAGACACGTATTTTTTATTTTCTTACTTAAACGAATAGTTTCGACGATATATTGATTTGAAATGTCGCGTGACGTCACTTCTATATACATTTTATACGTAGAAAATACGTTTTAGCTCCACTCCTAAACTTTGACTCGTTTTATCTAAGTATTGTTTTATTATACGACAAAATAAAAAGAAATACGTGTCTAATATTTTTTCATTACCTAACTTACGGAACGGACTAATTATAAATTTAATTTTCATACCATATCATCATCCCAATTGTCATCATACCTATAATACTGTGGAGTGTGGAGAATTATAATATCAAAAATTGTTATATTATATAGATACTTACATTTTCCAACATCTGTCTCATTGACATCGAGTGCATGTTTTGATCTCTTTACTGTTGGTCTATTTTTTTTTTCATGTTGTTGTTATTATCTTGATATGAAATAAATTATTAACTTATAAATGAGTTCTTTATATTGCTATTTAGTTTTTATAATATTGATTTAGTTCACTCATTTTTGGAAAAAGGATAAGGATTTTAGGAATTACATCAAGGCCAGGCAATTTCAATGAAAAATTAAAAACTTTACATTTGTTTTATTACATTATGGAATAATAAACCCCCCCATGTATATACCGACCTATCACCGAGTCACATTTTCTCCTGCCTACGGACTATCGCCGTCCTTTTCTAGCTGGGCGTTAGCGTATAGCTTTATCTCACTCTAACTTTAGAAATAAAAGTCAAGTTTTGTTATACTGACAAAATGCAAATGATAAAATGCTTGAGTGTAAATTAAATGCAGAACCAACTAAATGTATGTTTACTAGATTGGCTATGAAATAAGATTGTTATTTAAAAATTATCCTTGTGTAGTAGACTTCAGTGTCTATTATTTAAAGATTCCAATTATTCGGACGCTCTACCCAGCCAGTCAAGACGATGACTATCAACCATTGAGCATATATCCTATTCTTCACGATTTAATCTCCCCAATCATGGTTTTAATGAAATACCATTGCCATAAACGACTGACGTCTAAGCAAAACAATTTTTAAAGCATTATTATGCGGTTTTCGAACGCATCAGCCGCCATCTTGCATCAACTGTCAAAAATTGGCGCGATCGTATAAAATTTGAAACGTCATCGTCAATACGTATTTTTTTTTTCTCCATCAATTTACATTTTTAATTAATTAATTATAAATAAAGAAACAACATTAATTTTATTCAACATGGTTCGTTATAATTTTTGTACTATTTGTTTAGTTCAAATTTTAAATTTAAATTTTGGTAGATTTAACTATCTACTCCGATAAAAAGTAGAAGAGGGATCATCTCCGAATAAATGTCTACTCACACTAGGTTCGTTTCCTACAAACCTTTATAATAAACGCTAATTAAAAATAAATTACGTTTAAAAATCAGCCAATACGGATCGCCATATTGAATTTTCGTTCGAAAACCGCCAACCTTACCATTCCAAAACATGTCTACATTATGAGATATAGCGAAAAAATGAGAAAATAATCCCGCATGTATATATTTGGATTTAACTTTGGGTAAAATGAATTCTATATACACAAAAACCAGTTAGTACGGACAATTTGAATGGAACAAACGCGAACAATATTTCCTTAAATATTAATTAAATACAAAAAATTATAGAACAGAAAGCTCACGAAAATAATAACAATATGACTGTAGTATTTTTCAAAATGTACATATAATATACTTACAGACAACAAACAAATTACTAGTACTAGTCATTTTTTATCGAACCCACTGACCTAACGAGTGAACATTTAATTATTATTACACGTCAATGAATTCGATAAATAAACTAGTTTCGCCCATTCTCGAATTCACGATCCCTTATAAGGAATTCTACAAGTTTATTTTTTCATTAATTTACACTAAGAAAACTTAAATTAATTCGACACTGGAAGAAAATTGGCGCCACTGACGAAATTGGAGTCGACTCTTTTTTTCTTTTTTTTTTCGTAATTAGAAATTTTCACAAACCTATTTGCAGTTACATTGATGGATTTTGAGTTCTATCTGGTTAGATATAAGTGTCATATTAGCTGCATAAACAATTGGTTTTGCAAATACATTAAACAACCTTTAACGTCATTCTTATACAGACGAAATAGAATTCAAAATCGCGCGTCTAATCTGCAAACGAGGTTTGCCAAAATTTATAAAATAATTTTAAAATGCACGTTGACTTAAAAAAAAACAATTATGAAATTGATTGAATTGAAAAAAAAAATAGGGCAATAGGTAATTGAATCCAGCTAGAAAGATACACTAATTTGAATTCTAACATGATGTTTAATACAGTTTAAATTACATTACAATAAATCGACACCAATTTCGCGCAGAGAAACCATCTTTTACTTACAATTGTTATGAAAAAAATTTGTATGAGAGCCAAAGTGTTCTGCGTTAGACTTATATAATAAGAAGATGCTAACACTTAAATAACATGTCGTAAAAACTTAGGCATTACTTAATGAATACAGCTTATACCAAATATTGTTGAATTACAATAACTTGCGTATGAAACAACCAAGTTATAAATACCCAAGGGGAAAAAAACATCAGGCCTGTTTATGGTCACTAGCATAGATAAAAAACAGAAAATTTTTATTATCATTAACATTATTATTTTTTTATATAAAAAAACCAATAAATACCTACATTAATTATCACTAAGGAAGCGTCATTTTGGAACGAATTTTATTTTTTTAATTAATATATTTTTAAAGGTTTTTTTTTTGCTTGCTCCGTCTAAGCGTTCCGAAGGACCCATGTCATGTTTTTTAATCTATTTTTAATTAAAAATCTAGCTGACTGCGCTATATCTAATCGTGAAAATGTTCCATAATAGTAATGGAAGTATCTAAGCACATCCGTCGTTACTGAGGTATGTTTTAATATTATATTTACTAGAAAACATTATTTATAACAATGGTAACCCCACACATAGGTTTCATTTAAATTATTGCTGTCAATTAGGTATTTTGGAACAATTGAGTGACATTAAGCTTTAAATTTCAATGCTGGAAGTTTTGTATTTTGGCAAAAATAACACTGCTGCAGTCACGTATAGACCACAAATGGAAAATTTGCCTAGCACGCCACAGTCCTATTAGTTGCGACTCACAGTTGCAACTGTCTATTACGAAAAATCATAGCAAGTGCCAAAAAACAACATCATTTTTGTGTTTGGTCACATTTTAGTCAATTCCCTATAAATTGATTGCAGTGATCTACTGTCTTTACCCTTTGAGTACCGTCATTATAGACACAATTAAAGAACACTAGGTTGCGGTCACCGGTCTCCTCGCGGTGTTTGACAGTTTAATATGAAATCTGTAAGTAACTAAAGAACTTTCATAAATTTGGAAATTGCCACCGAGGGCAAAACTTTTTTGACGTGGAGCCACCACGTCAAAAAAGTTTAAAAATCCAAATGAAATTAAGGGAAAACCTAGTCACTCATCTGTTTAAAAATCCCGGATCACAAATAACTACGAAAACACGAAAAAAATCTGTAAAAACTACGGAATATTGCAATATAACCTAAACTTCAATTGTCTATTATTAACTGTATAGGCCACGGGCATCATTCCTTTAATAATGACAAAAATTACTTCAATATCTCACATTTCATCAGTTTACCTAATATATCAAAAACTGTATGACATGGGAACTTCTATATTTTCAAAAAATTGTTACGTATAAATAGTCATGGTCTGTTTACACACAACTTTACGGTAGAAGCCATTCAAAATAGCATGCGAATTAGGAAGATTACGAAATTGAGCTTTATTACAGCCGAAATAAGGAATAGCGGGAGCCGGTACATCGATTTAGGAACCCGTATGATCCCAGACAATTGGCTCCCGAGGAAGGATCGAAAAAATTACGAAAAAATTGGAAAAATTACAAGACATAAACACATTCCAACAAGATTTTTTTACTAAACCTTCGTTGAATATTAGCTTTTGCGGTAAATTATTTTGATAATAACGAGAGAGTAAAAATTCCGCATTAATTCATCGCATTCCTACATTTCATATTACAAATACAAACCACTACACCGCTCCTAGCCGCTATCAAATCGCACAATCCATCTCAACATTGATTCCCTACATCTTCTAATCGACTGCCTTCTAGCAACTCATCTCTGTCAGTAATAAGGCCAAAGAGATCTCTAGCAAAATTCATTAAACATTCTGAAACTTTTCTCATATTGACCACTCCATCTATATCAGAGTTGAATATAATATCATGATCAAAGATAAGTCCAAAAAAGTTAATCTTCGATAAATTTCTGACAGCAGACAAGAATACTTTTGCCAATGCTTCTATTCATTCCACGAGTGCAGTTATGACCCGCATTTGACAGAGATCGAGCAGCATCGCTCTTTGTTAAACCTGAACCTTTTTAAGCAAGGATCTCCAAACCACCTGCCTAGCGTGGAAGTTATGACAAACCCTCTTATGTAGAGAATCCCATTGCTCAGTAGTACACTCTCATGATGGTCATCATGATGAAGCCACAAAACATGAAGGAGAAGCAGACGATCGATTAGAAGATACAACGAATCACACTCATCATAAATATTCGCTAACTCGTTTCGTTTAACAATAAAACTTTTGGAATCTTTATTTAACATGGGTGCCTATTAAATACAATATATATTTATACGTTCAAGAACAACTCCATACATTTAGCTAAGGTTCAAATTATTAATTAAAAACGAACAATCAGGATTTTCGCGCCAATAGCGGTGCTAGTGCAGCTTATAAGTCTATCGACTGAGGGAGTATTTGCTAGTGTCAAGTCATCTAAACTCATTAGACTTAGAAGACTTTACAGCTCACTAGCGCCATCTACGGAGCGCAAAATCGAAAACCCTCAATGCGTCAAAATCACTCAACTACATATTATGTATTGCAAGACTAAATAAAGAGTTGTTCTTAACGAATGCATTTGACTAGTTCGACAAACCATCTATTATATTGAGCCGTCAAAAAATCCTAATTGCAATCTTGGAAAAATATACAAGAGTCCGCTAAACGAAATGTTTCTTTTACAAAATGCTAACTTCAATCAATGTTTTACTTAAGCCTATACCGACTAGGCAACATTTGAAGCCCAACATGTTGTACAACATGTGGCTCAACATTTTAGTTAGAAATGTTGTCTGTCTACACATGATTTTGCTCGCAACATTGTCGACAGAGGAACAAAGTTGCGCGTCACGTTTCTACTCGACAACACTTGAATCTCTACTGCATTGTTGCTCCGAAGCAAACAACATGTCGTGCGTCAAATGTTGCCCAGTCGATACGAGGCTTTACAACGAAAAAAACGGTTTTATTCAAAAACATAATGTACATAGCTTTGGCTTTAAGGCGTCAACAGCCTCAAAATTTACAAACGCCGCCTGTCCGTCAGTTACGTGCGATACGAATCCTTTATCTTCAATCCTCATAATGTTGCCCACTTTATTTGATTCATAGAATATTATAATTTCAGTGTTTCAACAGTTACATAGAATCAACGTTAGAACACGACCCAAAAATCTACAAGCCGATCAATGGGCCCAATGATATTTTCATGGAAGCATAAATTCAACCAAAAGACAAATTATTATTGGCACAATAACTGACTTCAAAACTATAACCTCACCAACAACACGAGTACAATTCGCTATTGTTATTTAAACTAGGCAATAACAGATTTGAATCGTTCGGATATTGAGCTGTCGAAGTACAAAATTATTGGAATCACTATTACTTATCCGATCGGTAACTAGTAGCCTAGCGCTTGGGAAGTATTTAGAGATACACTGTGCCTTGGAAAGCATCGGTTACCAGCCAATGTGCCTTTAGGAACAGATTTCAACAAGATTTTACATAGAAGACAGGTTGTCACTATTTTTACAACATTAGACCTATTTAATCTTAACTTTTGTACATGAAACAACGTGGAAGAAGTAGAAGTCTCAGTACCCAGCTATGTTCAATGTAACACCACAACACAGTGTAGATCCCGAAGCAAATATAACAGCCCCGTAGAAGCTTACTTTTAAAGAGAAAAATATATTATCTAAATCATTTGCCTGTGTACTTAACAATCCTATTGGTGTCAATGTTGAATTGGCGGGAATTGCCATCTTGTAACAAATGTCGAATGTCATAATTTGTTTTTTTATTATCGTGGCGTGATTGGAAGCTTGGAACGAAGGGGCGTTAACGAGTGGAACTTCGTTCGGTATCATCAAGCTATAGCTAAGAGTCGAGCTGCCCTCGTTAACAGTTCTAGGACGCGCCGCCAGATGGAGCGGAGCGCGTTCGAGCGTGAAAACAGGAATCTCCATAGGAAGAACACGGTCGCCACTTGGGTTAGGATGTGGACTATGTGTAATCTGGAAGCAAGAAATATTTATTAGCAACACATTTCGATATTTACAACAATCAATGAATGAATGCAAGCAAAATATCCGAGTTTGATTCGTTATGGCAAGCAGTGATTAGATTATTAGCTGGGTTATCTGGGCTTGAAACGCACTCAAGACAGTAAAATAAAAAACCGAGGCCCAATTACCCTCCCCTTACCCAATCTCCCCAATCCCTGAATCCCAACGATCCTCAAACTCCTAATCCCCAAAAAGCCGGTAACGCACTTATAAAGCCTCTGGTGTTCCAGGTGTCCTTGCGCGAAGCCGATTGCTTACCATCAGGTGATCCGTTGCTCGTTTACCGGCTTATGCCATAAAAAAACTTCCACAATAAAAACAAATTACCTAAAGGCAGTATACTAGACAGTACATCACGCTTTTTAATAGATTATGGGTCAAAAGAGAAGACAGATCACCACCAGTAACATCATAGGAATTATAAAGTGCGTTGCCAAACTCAAGCTATGACAACTTCTTGTGTTATATCATTTGCTATGTTGTACATACCTTCGCAACACGGCTCTGGACTTGGGTAGCGTGTCGGGGCTCTCTTTAAAGAGGAACCTCCGGATGCCGAGCACGTACGACTCGATGTACGCGTCCCAGTCGATGTTGCGCACGTTGAAATCAAAAGTCCTGGAAATAATGGAAATAGTTGGTATAATCAGGCATTTTCTAAGGGGGGAAAATCATCGAATGACTGCTCCCGGCTGGGTGAGGCGGGAGGGAGTGTCAAACCACCCCGTTCCTTCTCCTGTACGTCGAGCCGGAGCCCCGGTAACCCGTTAGGTTCTCCGCGATGTAGGTATATGCAGGCTTAGAGTTAGGATATTAGGCAGATTTGAAGAAAGTTTCTTTCAAAATAATATTTTCCACGAAATCATTAAGATGCATAAACTACTTTGTACTAAAATCACATCTTTAATCTAAAACTTTTCGTTTACTAAGAGACTAACCGACTGAAAGATAGCAAATTGAGAAAGGCTACTTTAATTTTACATTTTAAAAACAGATTTTTGCTAGTGAAATGTAATCGCATACAAAAATTTTTAAGCATTTGTCTGCCGACAGAAAACTGCTGAAGGCAAATCCTCCGCTAACGTAGGTCACCGGTGACCTACGCGGCGGTTAACGTGTTAAGTAGGTGGCGCCACTGTAGTTTTGGCTTACCAAGTCATCAAAAATGAAGTATTAATTACCTGCGGTCGTCAGGCGAGAGTGACGCGCAGAGTGCTTGCACGTTGTCATCTGCGAATGCCCACTGACGCGTGGTGAAGTACTCGAGGCAGGCCGCCGCCTTCTCCAACTTGTTCTGAACACGGACCATCCTGGAAACAAAACAGTCGATTAAGAGATTATCAATAACAGTAACAATGATGATGAGAATGTTAGGAAAGCTTGTGTTGATACAGATGCAAAACATACAAACCTGCTATCAAATACAGAGTACCATTTCAAACTCTCTGTGCTATTACTGATAACTTAAGTTTAGTTTTCAACAACTTAAGTTTAATTACTCGATAGTCAACCAACACATTAAAAAGTAATAAAACTTAACCTACAATATTTTGTTCAAGGGTAAACTCTAGAAGCAACTTGAGACTTCGGTCGGGCCAAACTAATTTATGTTTTTATTTTTTGACAATAAGAGAAAAATTACAGTTAGTATTGATGGTAATCTCTTCTTCTCTTCTCTTTCTCTTTTGAAGACTATTTAAACTGTCAAACACCGCGAGGACACCGGTGACCGCAACCTATTGTTCTTTAATTGTGTCTATAATGACGGTACTCAAAGGGTTAAATCAACACTTACATAGGTTTCTTGCCGGTGGCTGTGGATACGAGGTCCATGATGGCGGCGGGCGCGCGATGCTGCAGCAGCGACAACGTGCCGTGCTTCAGCCTGTTACTGGTGATGTCACCTCCGGGATACCATAGCACCTCGTCTGGAAAATAGAAGGCAATGAATAGATCTGCTAAATCTAGATATAGTTATGATTTAAAAGGGATTTTTGAATACGACTCCGATAACCTCACTGACAATTCGCAGTCAATAATAACATGGAATTATTTGAACCCGGCTAGCCTTATAATATCTTCTGATTCACTTCGTTGCGGGAACCAAGACAGTTACTCATGTCCCTGGGACGCGCGCGGACTTCAGTGTTTTCATGGTTGTATCTACTGTAGATCCTGGCTTACAGGAGTTGCAGCGGTTTTGGGAGGTTGTGGCTATTCCGTGTCGAAACATGACCTTAAAAATAATTCCACGACTCTCATCCTTCTTTAGTTTCCATCAAATTAAACATCACCATCATCAGTTAAAAGACACTGCTAGAAAAGGTTTCCAATTCACATTGACACATCATCAAGTATACTACAAAAATTATATAAAACTCACTAAACGGATGTTTCCGCATGTATTTGAAGCTGGTTTTGACAAACCGCTGCCACGTGATGGGGTTCTGCTGGCCAGTGCAACAATTGTACACCACTACTCCCTCACCTCTGGAAAAATGAAACAGATAAATATGAATGCATGTATGTATATTGTTTTGTACTCGTGTGTAGGTATATATATATATATATATTATAATTATGTTTATTTAAGTTTCTCTCTGAAATATGTAAGTGTATCTATTTTAATTGCTCAATTAAATCGTTGCTTGCTTCTTCCTCAGACCATTGACTTCTCTGCATCACTCAAAGGTCAGACTTTGAGAAAATGCCTGCGGCATTAAGTGCACCTTATGTACACATTGTGCATGAAGCTTAAATAAATATATAATCAAACATCAGAATTTGTATTCTCTGATGATGGAACACCAGTTGTCTGCCATTTAGATTAGAGTCACAAAGGGCTACTTCGTCAACCACCAAGTATACTTTAAGTAAGTGACACTTTTGATAGTAAAAGTGTTTCCCTACTTGAGAATAACGCCTAAAATCTTATTATGTACTAGCTACTTCCGCTCGGTTTCACACGCTCTGCTCAGCTCGTATTGGTCGTAGCGTGATGTTTTATAGCCTATAGCTATCCTCGATAAATGCGCTATCCAACACAAAAAGAATTATTCAAATCAGACTTGTAGTTACGGAGATTAGCGCGTTCAAACAAATAAACAAAAAAACAAAATCTTTCGCTTATAAATTTAACCTTTTAATCATAAAAGATGATTGAACGAAAACCACCTAAATATACATTGACGCAATCTAGGGAGTCAAACAATGACAGCTCCCACAAAACTTCAAAGCAAAATCAAATCATGAACCAATGACTTACCGTCTCAAATGCGTCCTCCACGCGCAAACAATCATTAGGTTGATGACGGTGTCGACAGGCACCAGGTCCGCGACCTTCGTGCCTGTTCCAAGCATCGTACGGAATATCCCCTTGCCCACAGCCGCTATGATACCGTTGGGACCGTTCCAATTGTCAACCCAACCTTTTACCGGCTCTCGGAGCGATGAGAGCACTGCAAAGAGAACAATTGGATTAGACAGAAGGAAGAATGAAAGAAGAATAAAGAAAATGTATTTGTTTGCTGCATGATATAGGCGCAGATACAAAGCAACATTCGTACATAACATCACGCCATTTATCCCCGAAGGGGTAGGCAGAGATGCACACAGAAGTAACACCCACTTTTCACTATTTATGTTATGAGTCCCATGTAATAGGGGGTTAGCCTATTGCCATATACCGGGCACATTACCAGACTCCGTGCTACCACTGAGATGTTTTTAAAAAAACTCAGTATTACTTTGCCCGATCCGGGAATCGAATCCGACACCCCTTGCCCGGTACTCGCACTTGCGACCACTCGGCCATCGAGACAGTCGATACACAAGTTATATCATAATTATATTTGTGTCCCCAAAAACGAAAGTGGCGCCACTGTTACTTTTCGATTTTCTTAGTCTTCGAAGGATTTATTATAGTATGAGTATCATAGAAGAGTAATATAATGAATATTCATGTCTGTTAAATCCCATTCTAATTAAGCTTTTAATTTGTATCTTTGTTTAGAGCTACAGCAGTAGCAGCTATACACATCATCATCATCATCATCCGACTACTGCCAGCTACACAACAGATATCGTCACTCCACCTAACTGGAGGGCCGCCCTACACTATGATTGCCCAAACGTCTACCCCAACGGTCATCGGTTCTTCGACAATGTGACCGTCCCACTGCCACTTCAGCTTACTAATCATTTTAGGGCCAATTTTTCAATCATAAGTTAATCCTTAACTGTAGAATAAAATTAACATTTGACAGTTCGTAAGTTAGGCAATGAAAAAATATTAGACACGTATGTTCGTTATAAACGAATTAAAGTTTAGGAGTGGGGGGCTAAAACGTCATTTTTACGTATGAAATGTACATAGAAGTGACGTCACGTGACATTTCAAATAAATATATCGTCGAAAGTATTCGGTTGTGTAAGAAAATAAAAATACGTGTCTAGTGATTTAAAATAATCCACCAGACGGACATTAAAATAAAAATTAGTCATCTACCCTATTGTCAAATGTTCAAAGTTATTCCTCAATTAAAATTTATCTGGCGTTAGAAAAATCGGCCTTTAGCGCATCGTTTACAAACACAAAGGATTTTGAATTAATTACCAAAAATCTAGATTTTACAAGCAAAATGGCAAACACCTTCTCAGTCATATATATAGACATGTAAGTACATAATTACATAAAGTAACCTAAATCGCGAAAATTAATGTTTACACTCACGCCTCTTCGATCCATCATAGATAAGCAGATAGTATCAACATTTGCAGATTGATAATATTTATAACATACTTTTTTAATTCACTTTTTAAGTATCTGATAAAAAAATGAGTCGGCGCAGGCTTAAGTTTGGCATTCTTATGCCCGAATACTGAAACGTTACTCAATTTTAAGTCGTGCTTAAATATCGTGCCATCTCTGTCATTTTACAAAGAATTTGTGGAGACAGAACTATACTTAAGTGCAACCTAAAATTGAGTAGCGTTTGAGTATTCCGACATCAAACTTGTTTTTCCCCTTAAATATATAGGCGTGTCAAAAAGAGTTTTTCTGACGTTGCCCTACGTTTTAACCAATTGTATTGTAAACACGATGGAACAAGAGTACCATATGGAGTTTCTTGCTCGTTCTTCTCCATTGAAATATATATTTTAGAACAAGCAAATAGCTTCACTCACTAGAGGACCAACAGACCGACCGAGTTTTCAACAATATTTTTATTGTTTTGTTTTAACGTTCAAAAGTGCTTTCCTGGTCTACAGTTAGGTAGGACTGAAGCCCGACACCGATGGCACAACGGGGTGTGTGCTAAGGCTCGAAGCAGAGGTAGTAACACGGTGGTTTTTAGTCAGTAAGAGTCTGACACTCCCACTCACCTCACCCGGGCGGTAGAAGTCATTAAATGAGTTTCCCCCCTCAAAAAAGACCCATAACAACAATTATTCGTAAATCACACAAAAAATTCTTCTGTGCGAGAATTCAATCTGCGACAGGTTTCATATCAGCCGATTATCCAGCCACTGAGCTAACCGCGCTGTATAATTAATTATTTATTATTCCCATATTTCTCTGAAAATACATTTTTAAGTACTACTTACAAAAAAGAATATATATATATAAAAATAGGAGCCGACCAGTAGTCATGGCCACCAGTGGGCATGGTGGTTAGGGCTCCAGAAACAGAAACCACCTCAAGGGGCGCGCCGTTCCAAGGAGAACTGCCTTCTGTATCAAGCCCTTGATTCAACCGTCTAGCGCCAGCTCCTTTTTTTTAAAGGGGGAAAATCATCGAATGACTGCTCCCGCCTGGGTGAGGCGGGAGGGAGTGTCAGACTCTTACTGACTAAAAACCACCCCGTTCCTTCTCCTGGACGTCGAGCCGGAGCCCCGGTTACCCGTTAGGTTCTCCGCGACAGCGCCAGTCTCTAAGGTGGTTGTCGAGGCTGTTAGAGATTAACTCATTGACCGATACGACTATCGGTTCAATGATAACCGAATCCATATTCCACGTGTCGACAACTTCGCCAGCCAAATCAAGATATTTTTTTGTTTATCTTTTTTAGCTTTCACGAGGTTCTCATCATGGGGAATGGTGACATCGATTAACACCGTGCGGCGCACTTGTCGGTCTATTACCACTAAATCAGGTTTATTGGCTACAATAGTCCTATCAGTGATGATAGCCCGGTCCCAATACAATGTGATATGGTCATTTTCCAGAACTGGGTCGGGCACATACTTGTAGTACGGTTACTTTCTCAGACTCAACAAGTCGATAGTTCAAAGCAAGTTGCTGATGGATAATCTTGGCTACTTGGTTATGCCTTTGCAAATATTCACTACTGGCCAAACGACCACAACCAGAAATATCTAATGGATTCACCAGGACTGACATGTCCGCCATATGTCAACCGTCCCATCCTCAATAACATATTTTCGGTAGTTATTCGTAAGGATAACTTCGTCTATAATTGCACAGACAAATCCTTCAGTTCCTCCAAAGAGATTAGGTACTGAATCGTAGCCAAGATACGGACACCAAAAACTCCACACTGGGTCCATTAAGGGCCCGGAAAAAGCGTCCGTAGATCTCCTTGCTATGCCATACCACCTTACGATCATTTATTATTATTATTACGGTTGATAACAAATACCCGACTCGTCTGTAGATTACAATAAAATGGATTTTTTATCACACGTGAGTGAAAAATCACGTGCTAAATAGATATGAGACGTATCAACGAAATACACGCGCCAAGCTAACATAAGTTAAGTCTCTGGTTCAGGCCATGGTGCGGAGTGAGGGGGACTGGGATGCCGTTCCTTCCTTCTGCGAAACAGTCATGCTAGCTAAGGAGGAGAAGGGGCGCGTGAGGGAACGCACCTCCTCACGCCCCACTCGTCGTGGGAGACACTCCGGGCTTCAGAGCTCGCGCGACGGTCTCCGGCCATCGTAAGTGCAGGTCTGCGGGTGGAGAGCAAGGATAATTCGCCACCCAATTAGAACCAGACCCGTGTGTACTCAAAGAGCTATCAGATCACCATAGATGGGGCCCAATAGGTGCCCGATACGGATCTGCGAAAGACCTAACGGGTTGCCGGGGCTCCGGCTCGAAGAGTAGGAGTAGGAACAGGGTGGTTTTTTGTTAGTTAAAGTATGACTCTCCTCGCTTTACCCGGGTGGCAGAAGAGAAGCTATTGGATGATGTTCCCACATCATAAAAAGCCATAGGTTAGGTGCAAAAATCTGTATACTTCAGTAAGATTGAAAATATCAGTGACAGAATAGGTATTCAAAAGCACAATATGTACCTATATACCTGTATCATCCAAATTATCATCTACAAACCGCCTGTCAAAAATGAAAATTATGGAAAACCCTCTTATCTGATAGTCACAGGCTTTTGACAACCACTACCTAGTTGGATAAGGGCTAACTAGTCTTCTTCCTTTCTCTAACTAGAGAACGGAAGAAGTCAGGTCTTAGGTCTTATTCTCTTCACTGTTACTAAAAATGACAAAAACCCAAAGTCCAAAACTTAATCAGTTAAACAACTTAAGCTTATGTTTGCGTAAAACAAAACATTATCGATTCTTCGCAAAGTAATTAATTTAGCGATAACTTTGAACTGCGTGATTCAAATGTATATAAAAATAAGATTACCGTATCACACAAGTTTATTGATTACCGACAAATTTTTATACGACCCAATTTATAAAAGAAATTATCATGATATATCATGCACAGTTTCAATTATAAATAGATAATTGCAATACTGCAAAGTCAACCTCGTCACATCCTTGTAGACTGGACAATGGACATCTACACTACATGAGCTGATGTTTACATGTGAACATTAGCAAATGACGATCCCTAAGTACATGTGTCGTCTGGACAGTCAACCTCGCTACATCCTTGTTGACTGGAGTGATGAAAGAAGATGTATAATGGTCTCACCGATAGAAGGTCGTACGATGGATACTGGCAGGTTCCCACTTTCCTTTATAAGCATGTCCTCTGCTAAAGCCTTTGTAAATGTGTATGTGTTAGGCCGGTCACCTGTAATAGGAAGGAGAAAATATGGGTTAAAAATAACATTCTACAGATATAGTAAGACAGTATGTCATGTAGTGATGGCAGACTGAAACACTTTCACCAAAACTCCTACTCTTCCCGCAGGTCAACTAAGAGGCTATAAATTTAACAAGATTGCACACCAGCACTCTCTGATAAACCTGAACCTTTTATACTACGATCGCCAACTAGTCTGCCAAACGTCTTATGTAGAAGAAGTTCAAAGTCTAGCAGTAGCTTGCCATGGGCGGCTGAAACTTCCTTACAACTAAGGAGGCTTCAACAAGCTTAGTTCGCCACTTGTACTACTGAACTACCCGTGATCCTGTCAATAGCGTTGGTCTACTCTGGTCTGACAACTAAGTGATATTCTCATAAACTCACCGACTAAATCCGGTGTGATTCTATCGACGAGGTCGTCAGGCAGGGTCTGTACCAGCGTGACCACGTGCTCGGGGTGCGCGGGCGGCGCGTACACCGTCTCCTCCACTCGCTCGCGTTCACAATTGCAGTATGCCGTCGATACGTGGACTAGTGCCTGGAAAATAGCGCAAACCATTAATTCATCTATTGACTGTTGCTATATGAGACATAATAGAAAAACTTTGTGTTTTTATGAAAGAAGAGTACGTATGGAGATGTTAATGAATATAGAAGAGGCAAATGAGGTCTGTTAGAATTGTGTCATTTAGTGTTTGACCGTCTCTGTCTATCCAATGGGGCATAGTTGTTACATAGATTAATTATCAACATGCAACTTGTTCATTTTTAATAACAAAATTCGTTTTTATAAAATTGCTCTCTAAACATCGGAAATATAAATTATAATGGAGACACCGGCGTCCATTCAGGGATGGCGGATATATTCGTAAGTAAACACCAAGCTTTCATCCTTTTTTTTATGAATAGGAGGCTACGGAGCATACGGTTCACCTGATGGTAATCGATCAGCGCCGCCTATGGATACCCGCAACACCAGAGGAGTCACAGGTGCATTGCCAGTATTTTAAAAAGCAGCTTTTCTTGAAGGTTTGACGGTCGTATCGGTTCGGAAATACCGCCGACGAAATTTAAAGTATAAATAATTTAAAAACCGAAAAATTGTTGTTTGTTGATAGGCTAAACTACATATTTTTATTTCAAATACCTAATTACCCCCTGGATGTATATTAACTCTCATATCATGCCATTAAGCATGCATATTTCGACTGAAATCGAGAATCTTATCGCTGAAATCAATCTTAATACGTTAAACATAGATTACATTTCACGATGACATGGCATAGACTGTAAAACTGCGTCTACTGACGTATGTGTAAGTATAAATCTTGATATAGGTAATGACTCACATATTATGGTTTTTCCTAATAATCACAAATGCCTATTGCCTATTAAATTATGCCTGTTATTTAGTCATCAGCAGCCGAAAGACGTCCACTGCTGGACAAAGGCCTCCCCCTTAGTCCTCCACTTGCATCTATTGACTCCACGCTACTCTGGCGATGTCGTCGGTCCACCTAGCGGGAGGCCTGCCCACGCTTCGTCTTCCGATCCGGATCTCTACTCAAGGACTTTCCCGCCCCATCTGCTGTCACTCCGTCGAGCGACGTGGCCTGCCCATTGCCACTTCAGTCTGCAGATTTTGCGAGCTATGTCGGTAACTCTTGTTCTTTGGCGAATTTCCTTATTTCGGATTTAGTAACTAGCACATATCATAATCTAGAACATTCAGTCTTAATAAACAGAGTGCCGAACACGAATAACTATCGCATTCGTAACGTAATAGTATCGAGCGCGATACCTTATTCTCGTTATTCTGCATAACTTGGTTCCCGCTAGTCCTATCCATCGTCATAGTACAAGACAATCGTAGAAGCGCCATCGCTTCATGGTGGATATCCCACCGGTTGGGCAACTGACTGCCGCGCAACATGTCGCGGTTTCGATTCCCGCACGGAACAACTGTTTGTGTGATCCACAGATTGTTGTTCCGGGTCTGGATGTCATGTGTATGTGAACTTGTATGTTTGTCGTGCTTAAGTATAGTTCTGTCCCTACAAATTCTTTGTACAATGACAGAGACGGCACGATATTTAAGTACTACTTAATATTGAGTAAGCCTTTCAGTATTCGAGCCCATGTTAGATACCCACCGATAAAATATCCTGTTAAACATCCATCAAAAAATTATCTACTCACCTCAAGGTTAAGCATGCGATGACAAAGCTGGACCAGCTGTTGCGTGCCCAACATGTTGATGGTGACAGACAGTTTGAGTTTCTCGTCGAACTTCACAGTCGCAGCCGAGTGGAACACCACTGATATCTGATGAAAGATACATTGAACTTTTAAATACTAAGTAGATAATTAAACTGTGGTAAAATAGGTGATGAGGTTAGATTGTAATTCATATCTAACTTGTACCATAATAGCTGTGTAATTTTAAAAATGAAATGAAATTGTTTTGTGTAGAGGGAGCCACTAGCTTTTGGGGTCACTTACGGCCGAAATGAATAATCTCTTAATCACTTTAACTTCTGACCACAACTTCATACACCTAAAATCAATAATCCAAAGATTTGGGACTGGGAACGATAAATAATTTTTGGAACGATAAATAAACATTTTTCGTTCCTTTTATTATCTTGTCAGCATTCTAAGCGCATATCAAGTGCATAATAGTTTATTTTCAACTGCGTATGTCTCATTAACACTTAATTGGCCACAGGTCGTGGGTGCCTCCACAAATAGAATCAACTCCTGTGTGGGAATCGAACCCGTGACTTCTGCGTAGGAGTCCGACTGGTGTGTCAGACATATATCTCACTTGACACCCGTAACACCAGAGCAGTTGTAATTACGTTGCTAGACTTTTAGTAATTTTCTATATACTATTAAAAATACCTACTTCATTTTTAATAGTCGGTTAATATTAAAACCTGCTTCTAAGTGTGACAAACAAGTGGGATGATGACAGGGTATGAAAATTAAAATACTAATTAGTCCGAAAATTAGGTAATTAAAAATATTAGACACGAATTTTTTTATTTTGATGTATAATAAAACGATACTTAGATAAAACGAATCAAAGTTAAGAAGTGGGGGCCAAAACGTCATTTCTATGTATAAAATGTACATCGAAAGTATTCGTTTCTGTAAGAAAATAAAAGAAAACGTGTCTAATGATTTAAAATAATCCACCAGACGGACATTAAAATAAAAATTAGTCATCTACCCTATTGTCTGAAAACTGCATCAATAGCGGTGCAGCTAATCGCGAGATGAATGTGCATAAACATACACACATACACTTTGTTTGTTGAAGGTTTGAAGGTCGTATCGGTTCAGATATCCAGCAGACTACAATTCATTCGAATTTGTTGTGTGACACAAAGTTCTGATAATGTGTTCTTACCTTCTGACAAAGCATGGTCTGATCTGCAGCGCTGATGCCTAATTCCGGCTCGGTAATATCGCCGACAATCGGGACTATCTTGTTCAACTCTTGGGGCCGCTCTCTCCGTAGGGTCTCGAACAACTGTTGACAATATGAGGATACAATAATGGGAATTGTTAAAACTCTTTATTGTCGGAAGAGCTAGCTAGCTAGCATTGCTATCCTATCGAAAATTAATATAAATGAAATTGTGTTTGTATATATTTTGCTGACTGACTGACTGCCTCGTTCGCCAAGTAGTCGCAAGTGCAAGGGGTCTCGGGTTCGATTCCCGGGTCGGGCAAAGTATTACTGGATTTTTAAAAATTCTCATAAGTAGCACGGAGTCTGGAATTGTGCCCGGTATATGGCAATACGCTCACTCCCTAGTACATGGGACTCATAACATAAATAGTGAAAAGTGGGTGTTACATTGTATACCTCTGCCTACCCCTTCGGGGATAAAAGGCGTGATATTATGTTATATATTTTATCATTTTCATCAATTCACCAATAATCTAAAGTTTTGATTCATTGAATTCATTGATTTCTCACAATTTTTACCATTCATATAATTAAGCTCTAATTAAAAACGCTTTTACTAAAATCTCTTAGTCAAAGGCATGTAATACGAAATTTGGCGATTTTTCTGATCGTACCAAAGATCCAAATAGTATCTACTTTACTGGGTATCGAACCCGAAATGTAGTGTCACTTGACTATCTGTCGACCAACGTAAAGGTCAAAATGTGAAAGAAGGACAAATAGACTATTTATTAATATAATATTCACTACTTACGTCAGTAATTGTAATGTTGTTCAATCGACTTTGATGATTAATTTGAAAATAATTAAATTAAAACAAAATATTATTTGACTTTGGAAGTCAAATAATATTTTGTTTTAATTTGACCAACAAAGGCATTAGGCGCACATGAAAGTCAAAAATAGATATCATATTCATATTATTCATATTTGCATTCCATGACCGAATCGAATATTATATGAAGCGACTATCATCTGAACTCCAAACCATATGATTATATTATAGTGTAGGGTGGCAAACCAGCAGATAGATCACCTGATAGTAAGCAATCAGCGTCGCCCATAGACACTCGCAACATCAAAGTTACGAGAGCGTTGCCGGCCTTTTTGAGGATTGGGAAGATTGGGGAAGGGGAAATTAGGGATTCGATAATCTCACATGGCGAAACACAAAGCCACATGAATACGATATGATGATCATCATCAACAGCGTATAAATGCCTACTGCTGAGCAAAGCCTCTTCTCACACGGAGAAGATTTGCTCAATGCGGGTTGGCGATTACAGATTTATAATTTTAGATAGAAATTATAAATCTGTAATCGCCAACCAATAATTTCTATCTAAAATTATAAATCTGTAATCGCCAACCCAGGTTTCCTCATGATGTTTTCCTTTGCCGTTTGTCGGTGGTGTCTAAATAATCTTAGAAAGTACATAACTCGGATAAAGTCACATTGGTCCTAGCCGTTGGTAGGTTTCGAACCCCCACCCTCATGCATGAGAAGCGGGCGTCTTAAATCTCCGGGCCACCACAACTATGATGATACTAATCCGCATTGAGCGAGCGTGGTGATTAATGCTCAATCTTTCACCGTGTGAGAAGAGGCTTTGCACAGCAGTGGGAGCTTATAGGCTGTCGATGATGACGCTGATGATGACTCTTAAGAACAACAAATACTGACCGGTGACTGTGTTAGTTCGGTGAGACGTGACGCGACGTCCTGGCCTCGTTTCGGCCGCATCAGAAGGTAGATCTTCTTAATTTTTGGACAACTTCTTAACAGTTTTTCGACCAATACCTGTGAAGCAAAGAAACAATAAGTTAAGTATATTTTTATACTGCTATCGATAGCAACAAAGCTTACGCTTGGTAGGCAGACACAAACCGTACCCTAAGTACACATGCAACACAAACTTTTTAAATCGCGCTTTAATATAGTTCTGCAACTGTAAATTCTTTGTATAATGACAGTGATGGCACGATATTTAAGTACAAATTAAATTTGTGTACTTTCAGTATTCGGACGTTAAGGTACCACGAGTGCATTGCTGGTCATGTAAAAAATTGGAGGGTATAGTAAAAAATCTACGTATACCGTCTGTGGACATCTATTACACTTTTGGTATCCCACTTAATGTCTTGTGAATAGGGTAGATGCCTAATTTTTATTTTAATGTCCTTCTGGTAGATTATTTTACGGTAGACGACTGCATGGTTGGCGCGGTGGCTGGGCAACTGGCTGCCGCGCAACGTGTCGCGGGTTCGATTCCCGCACGAAACAACTCTTTGTGTGATCCACAGATAGTTGTTCCGGGTCTGGGTGTCATGTCTATGTGATATTGTATGTTTGTAAACTCACCCACGATACAGGAGAAAATCCTAGCGTGGGGTAACGTTTTTAAAAAAAAAATTAAATCGACACGTTTTTTTTATTTTCTTACAGAAACGAATACTTTCAACGATATATTGACTTGAAATGTCGCGTGACGTCACTTCTATGAACATTTTATACGTAGAAATGACGTTTTAGCTCCCACTCCTAAACTTTGATTCGTTTTATTTAAGTATTGTTTTATTATATGACAAAATAAAAAAATCCGTGTCTAATATTTTTTAATTAGGTACTTTATTTTCATACCCTGTCATCATCCCAATTACTGATATACATTACTGTTGTTTGCAAGGTGTACCTATATGATTTAACATAACATCACGCCTTTTTTCCTGAAGTATTTTTTTTAAGGCGAAAATCATTGCGTGTATTCTCCCGCCCGGGTGAGGTGGGAGGGAGTGTCAGACTCTTATTGCCTAAAAACCACCCCGTTCCTTCTCCTGTAGGTACGTCAAGCCGGAGCCCCGGTAACCCGTTAGGTTCTAGGCAGAGGTGCACATTATGCCACTGTACAATGTAACACCCGCTAATTAATTACAATCCTAACTAGAAAAACGAAAAATTCCCCGCCTAAATAAAGTACCAATTATGTAATAAATTACATCACCACTGATTAGGAGTTGTTATCGAAAACAATTTGATAACGACAGTGTTATCTTTGCAAGTATTAACGATTGAAATTAATATTATCACAAGTACAAGGCCGTTCTAATCTAGACAGGTTCAGGAAACGAGGATTTTTATGAATCTAGTAACCTAATTAGGTAATGTAAAAAAAGGTTGATTAAGCCAGACATGTGTCTTTCGGCGTCGTCCTATATATTCACCCTAATGGGAGCAGAGGGCTAAATCTTCCTATATCTTACAGTATTGTGAAATTTTGTTTTCTTGAGTTGCAACACTAGCGCCTGTTACATCGGGTCTGCGGACGATGAGCAAGGGTAGCTCGCCGCCCGACTAGAACCAGATTCGTGCGTACGGTGCGACGCGTTCTGCGCGCGCCTCAAAGAGCCATGAGACCACCATAGATGGGGCCCAGTAGGGCTGATGACCGATACGGAGCCGCGGAAGGCCTAAGGAATTGCCGGGGCTCCGGCTCGAAGATCTGGAGTAGGAACGGGGTGTTTTTTTGTCAGTAAGAGTCTGACAATCCCTCTCGGCAACCCAAGGCGGGAGAAGTAATATATAATAGGATGATTTTCCCCGCTTAAAAAAAAAGCGCCTGTTACATCCGTATTGCGTGGATATTTCATAAACTAAATGTTATTGAGTTTGGCTTTGCCATTGAATTGAGATTTTGTTGGATTGAAATTGCATTGACATTGAGATTGATTTCAAGAGTAAGCACCCAGATCTGACAGGATGAAAGTATGATTACGTGGTCGCAAGTACAATTGTCAAGGTATCAAGTAAGAAGTCTTGGGGTTCTGGGGTCCAGCAAGAACTTTGGGTACTTTCTCCATTTTTTTAATCTCTCAGTGTTGGCACGAAGTCTGGAAATGCGCCAAGTGTAGATATGCGAATGGCTCGCCCCTTATTACATGGGACTTATACCCAAATAATTAAACGTAACGTAAATTTTAAGACGCGCTTAAATATAATTCTGTCAATATACATTCTTTTTTTTCTTTAAACAACGTTGGTGGGTGCGTTTACAAAATGTGTTTTTTTGTAAAATGACAAAGATGCTACGATATTTAAAAATTGAGTGGCCTTTGAGTATTTAGGCGCCATACTTCTTTTAATTCTCATAGGGATAAATAGACTGACTGCCTCATTGGCCGAGTGGTCGCAAGCAAGTGCGACTGTTGGGCAAGAGGTCTCGGCTTCGATTCGAAAACGATAGCGTCACAATTCCAATTATTAAAATAAAATATCATGTATATGTCTTAGCTGTCTTGTTATACACGAGGTTGCAAATGCGAATGTGGGACAAGGGGTGTCGGGTTCGATTCCCATGTCGAGAAAAGTATTACTGGGTTTTTAAAAATAATCTCAGTAGCAGCACGGAGTCTGAAAATGTGCCCGGTATATGGCAATAGACTCACCCCCTATAACATGTTCAATATAACCCTATAAAGTGCGTGTTACATTGTTCAGTGACATTAAGTGCCGTAATTTACACCTCTGCCTACCCCTTCGGGGATAAAAGGCGTGAAGTTATGTTATGTGGATAAATAGAGATGCATCCACAATTTTCACCACTTATGCTAAGAACGACATTAAACAGGGGGTGGGCATGAACATGTCTGCCGCACTTTAACATCGAAACATCGATAAGTCAAATATACTTCACTTAACCTGGGAATGAAACCGGCAACCACTCAAATTAACTTGTATATTATACCTATACAAGGTGTTGTTTTAAAGCCTCGTCATTTTCTAGGAGGTAACCCGGATATAGATTCTGAGTAAGAATCAATAAAAGAAATTGTAGGTAAATATTTTTCATTCTTCTGTAAATTACGGAAATCCGTAAGTGCGAACTACACGTCGCCGCCGTCTTGTAACTAGCTTTGTAACGCTGCTTAACACACACAAACTCAAACACGTAATTGATATTATTCCTAATTACATAAAACTCCAATAAGAAACATTGCTGTCACTTATTCTGAAATACTGTTGAACTTAAACGATTTATTATAGCCGTATTTTTAATTATTGGTTCGAAACTTTCTCTTACATTGAACCTTTATGACTTCTATGACATGTCCACGAGAAATGACACGGCTTCAAAACTACACGTTGTATGTGCACTTATCCTTCCCTGGATTAAAATATCCTTTGTTAAACAAAATTACCACCGGAAGGGCTTGCCTACAATACTCATACACGTAACACAACGTAACTACTTTAAACCCAACTGGGATGGAATAACGCAAAACTAAACGTTTCCAGTTTTTAACCGACTGTAACGAGTTTGTATTAGTATCTAAATTAGTTAAGAGTTAAGGTCGTCTACTATAAACTTGGGTATCAGGTTAGCTGTTAAGCTCTGTGAGGCGTAATATTACGCCTTTTATTAGCAGAAGGGTTTGGCAGAGTGGATGTTATCCATAAATTTTGGATAGACATCGATTTTCGACTTTTTTTAAGGGGGGAAAATCATGAAATGACTTCTCCCGCCTGGGTCAGGTGAGAGTGTCAGACTCTTACTGACTAAAAACCACTCCGTTCCTACTCCTGCTCTTCGAGCCGGAGCCCCGGTAACTCGTTAGGTTCTCCGCGAATCGATTTTCGACTTATAACACACGTTTTACTAAAACTAAAAAATGGTATAATATGGGACATCATAACAAAATAAATCTACAAAGTTTAAATTAAAAAAAATGTATCAATGTCTTACCTTCCCCATAAACCCGGTGCCGCCAGTCACAAAAACTGACTTGTCTGCATAAAACTCCGCAACGGGCACATACTCCTTGCTCCCGGGCACATAATGCCCACCAGACAAACAGGACGCCATATTCGTAAACTTTCCTTTCACAATTCACACGCTCTAATGCTTGCTAAATACATCAAAACTTGTCTAGCCTCCCCCCAATTAACATGTACAGGTTTTCACTGGTCGCCAAGTTGTTATCCGGTGTTTATCAACAGGTCGTTACTTGTATCAACATGGTTGTTTGTTTACACCTGAAAAGAAAGAAAAATAGCTTAGAATTTTATTGTAATCTTTACATAAAACATAAAATTAAAATATTTATTTCAAATATATATAAGATAAAAGTGTGCGTCGTTCAATCTCCTAGTGAATCTATTTGCTCGTTCGAAAGTGTAGATTCCTATGTAGAAGAACGAGCAAGAAACTTCATGTTTACATTTTGCAATCAGATTTACAGTTCTGGCTTAATTTATTGAACAAGTCCAAGCATGTGAAAAACCTCAATAATTGTGTCAGGATCGTAGTAAGTAGGTAGCATTCCATGGTTTCAGCTTGCCATGGGACAAAGGTGTAAGTTAATGTATGTTAAACACTTTCAAAATTAAAATTAGGGTAAACAGCAATCCTAAGACTGCAAATGTGCGTGTATGTGACATAGTATTTATAGTACTCATACATGCTATGCTTCTTTAATTAAGTAATTATGTTGGTACAACGTTGTTAGTATTATTAATTAACATTTTAATTAATTTTTGTATACTTAGTTGACTCTGTCTAAGGTTAAACAAGGCATTATTGCGTATTCCTAATTGAAAAGGTGCCACGCCATGGTCTCAAGTACCTTAACATAAAGTGCATTTTCGCCAGTCATCTTTGAAAGGACAGAATCTAGTTAAACCGTTTAGTGATGGTCAAGTAGAATAAATTCACCACATATCTTCCCACAGATGTCCTTAGAATAGACGTAAGGAGCTACATATTTGACAGAGACCGGGCAGCATCGCCCTCTGTTACACCTGAACCTTTTAATTCCAACCCGTCTGAGAAGCAGGTCGATTATGAAAGACCCTCTAATGAAGAGGAGGTCAGTAGTCCAATAGTGAGCGCACTATTATTATCATCTATTTGTATATTAGTAGGAGCACAGCTGCAGTAAAACTTAGTCTTTATAAAAGTCTAATCTAGGAAATCTAAGTTTGAAACTTGACCTCCACTATATGCAGCAATTAGTTATCAAAAATTCGACAGATATTATATTTATAAATAAAATATCCTTGTTACCTAAAGGCCGACTAGTTTGTTAAAACTATATAAATTATTACATAACTTATTGTAACATAAAATAACATAGTTTAATCCCCGAAATGTTTATAATTACCAACCATCGATTCTTTGACCAACCCAGGCATTGAACCAAGACCTCTTGCTTGATAGTCACACGTAGGACCTCTCTACTAACACAGGTAGGTACATAAATAGAAATAGGCAAAAATACGCCTAAATATAATTAAAAAGAATATTCTTATCAATCTGTTTGTCATCGCAAAATGTCAAGGTAGATACAAGTTTAAGGTAAAACACAGTATAACACTAGGTCACATTAATATTCATCTAACGACTGCCAAATATGCAATTATATAATTTTTATAATACCTAGAATCTCTTCCGACATCACAGAATATTTATTAAGGACAACTGCATTTATGAATTTCATTGATGATCAGCTGATTCGTAGCCATACATTATTTTTAACTACCTAGGTAGCGAGTTAATCACTTAATTCTGCCAGTTCATAATGATCAAAAGGTCAAACCCTAAGCATTAAATTATGTTTCAATCAGACTAAAAAAGGGTACTTTTGAGAACCAAGATTATACATAAAAATATATCCTTTGGTCCGTAATCAAGCTAGCTGAAAAATAGTGGAGAGTTTTTACTAAAAGCATAAGGATCGTCATAATTGTCATCATCAGCCAATTTCCATCCGCTAGAGGACATGAGCCTCTCCAATATTCGGCCACTGAGCTCGATCTTCAGCTCTTCTCATGCACACCGCGGATATCGTCACTCCACTTAGCCGGAGAGCGCCCTACACTACATCCGTGTAGGCGTGGTTTTTAACAAGGCTACAACTTTAAACATGCTATTAGATTTTACTGAAACAATAGCCTACATGTTGCTCCTAATCATGATCTATCTAACTACTAAAATTATATGCAAATCCGTTCACTAAGTTCAAAGATGTGTATTAATAAATCAACAGACAGTAAAACTGGAATGAAATGGATATTATTGCAAGCTTCAGCCACGATTTTATGATAAAAATAAGCCTATGTGTTATTGCATACTACAATCTATCTCTGGGCAAAATTTCATTCATATCTATTCAGTACTTTTTGTGTAATAGAGTAAGAAATAGAGATACATACATTTCGTCACAAACTTTCACATTTACAAATAATATTAGTCCGTTTATTTATACTACCATTTCTAGTCATCCTATTTTTGTTTAACTGGTGTAAAGATACACATGTCATTATGTGTCTAACCTATTGCACTTTTATGTTTAAATGTCACCGAAATACACTATTTTTGTAATCTATATGGCAAAGGACTAGCCGTAGCTTACGGGAGACCATGTATCTTCAAATGTAGACTTATAAAAAGGCTATTTTTCGGCTACATTGGTCCAATCTAAATTCCTAACCTATCACCCTAAATTGTCAACATCGAATCAAGTCGAAATAACATCAACTATGAAAATAATTCTCCACATAAATACAGAAAAGAGTCTTACCAAAAAAGTCGTACAAAAAAATTTACACTTTTCTCTCGAAACAAGTAAATGTCAACGCATAGATTCAAAGTATGCAACAGAATGACCACTTGTATTTCGCTTTTAAATACATTTTTAATAGACACAATCACGTCCTAATGTAAATAATACACTTTCATGTACAAGTTTATCAATATTTCACTTTTTATTTTATCGTTTTTCGTATAGACGTAATCTATGCCTTCATTTTGACGTTTGGTCTCCAGTCATTTTTTTATTTTTATTATCTTGCTTTTTGCCAGTTTACGAAATGAGGTTACAGTTTTATTTCAAAATTTTTATCAAATAGTTTTAACTCTATCGTTGGTCAAGTGGTTGTTAGTGCAACTGCTGAATAAGAGGTTCGATTTCTAGGTCGGGCAAAGACTTATTAAGCGAATTATTTTATAAAATTTCTCATATAAATAAATGGAGCCCGACGTTATTACATGGGACTTATAAAAGTGGATGTTACTATTATAGTAACATCTGTCTGCCATTTCGAAAATTAAAAGCGTGACGTTATATATGCAGTTGGTACATAAATATAGTAAACATGAAAACATGTAGAACATCGTATCATATTATTTGATTACAAAAATGAGGTCGAAAGCAATGTTGCTATGTGGTGTCTGGTCATCAAAATTCCTAACCTATCACTCTGATAAGGAGTTATCAAATGATAGAATCACGCTATTAATTCCCTGAAGGTAGATAAAGCTGCACCTTATATTTGGCCTATATTTACATTATTTATTTATTATTGCCAGTTATAAATTATAATGTTTTCGGCTTGCTCGCGTAATTATTTGACAAGGAACTCGACTAGTTTCAGTAAGATTAGCAGCGCGACAATCGCCGCGTCGCAGGTCGCGGAATGCTGCTCATGCATATAAGCCCCTAGCATGGCTTGAAATTAGTCGAATTTCTCGTCAATTAGGTAATTACATGAGTAAGCCGAAAACACAATAATTTATTTAGTATGTCTCACGAAAGTTATAATACAAATATTGCCAGTTATGTTTATTTATTAGTATGTTTTTTTTAAGGGGGGAAAATCATCGAATTACTGCTCCCGCCTGGGTGAGGTGGGAGGGAGTGTCAGACTCTTACTGACTACAAACCACCCCGTTCCTTCTCCTGCACGTCGAGCCGGAGCCCCGGTTACCCGTTAGGTTCTCCGCAACTCCGATTTGGCATCGGCCCTATTGGGCCCCATCTGTGGTGGTCTGATATTTATTAGTAGGTTAACGGTATGAAACTGTCTGCCTCGTCGATCAAGTAACTTGTGTCGTCGAGTTAAATTCTTGGGTCGAGCAAAAACTTTTCGAAATATTATTTTTTTGCAACTCATTTATGTCGACTGTCCAACTAATTAGTTTAATATTTGTAAAATTTTTCATTATAGCAATTACCTTCAAATTTTAGTAATCTTCCAGCATTAGTATCATTCCCATTCCCTTAGCAAAACGAATAATCTATATATAGAGGTATAAAAATAAAACCCGTTTTCCTTTGTCACGCCATGACTTGAGAACGGCTGATTTTTTTCTGTTGTGTTTGTTATTGTCAGGAGAAGGTCCTTATGACAGAAAAAATCCTGAAAATCCTACGGGAACGGGAGAAAACGGGATTGCGCGTACGAAGTCGCGGGCAGAAGCTAGTATAATATAATAGTGTACATCTCTGTCTATCCCTTGGTAGATACGGAGCCGCGGAGAACGTAAAAGGTGACCATTACCGGGGCTCCGGCTCAAAGTGCAGGAGTAGGAACGGGGTGGTTTTTAGTCAGTAAGAGTCTGACACTCCCTCCCGCCTCGCCCGGGCGGGAGAAGTCATTCGATGACCCCTTCATAGAACGAAATAACATTGCAAACTTGACTAAACAAATAAATTAATGACGACTTTGACCTTAGATTTATAGTACCCATACAATATTACGTAGATAGTCCCATTTATAACATAAACAAACAAAAATGTCACGAAGGCCAAATAACTAAAACCGATTTATTATACCATAAATAAATTTAAGATATATGGCGAATTCGCAAAATTACTTATTATACATTAAAAGAGATACAAAGCGAATTATATATTTTAAACATATTTAAATTTGTAAATGATAATCTGACATTGACACAGTTTTGAAAATTAACATTTTATATACGTCACATAGTTTATGTTATGTTAGTTTTGCATATACCGGATGTAATAATATTAATAGTTATATGTCTTTATCAAATCTTAGGTCAGTCTCAAATATACT